AAACTAGGCTCAGGAGGACATAGGAAAGACCTGCCCCAAATATGAGCTTGCATATCCAATGCTAAAGTGTTGATTTCTAGTATATCTATATATATATTTTTTTAAAAAAAACACAAAAAAGCATTAATATCCTGGATTTTCACTAAAGGGAATTTGTGGCATATCTATCAGAATTTACAAATCATTTCTAGCTCCTCTAGGTAACTTAATGCATACAAACATGAGCATAGCGAGAGGTGTGGATAGAGAAGCAGTTTGTGGAAGCAGTTTCCCACACTTTCCGCAAGCTATAAGGAGCTCGCATTGGACCCCTTCCAAGGGTTGAATTATTTTCTCCCAACTGCCATTCAGTACTCTGTGATTTACATTGTACTTCTGCAAACCTGAAGATTCACAATGGTATCTCCTTCTCATTTCTTGGTTTGGGCTCCATTTCTGTCCATGCGCACCTCAGGGAGCTTTTGTCCGGTTCCTGACACTTCCAGTTGAAAGGATGAGGGAGCAGGTGGTGCAGAAGATTTTGACCCAAGGACCTGGAAAACCGCTGCCAGTCCATAGAGACAATGCCGGGCTGGATGAATGATACTAATACTAGACCCAGTGTTAGGCAGCTTCCTACATTCCTACTGTTTTTATTGCAATGCTAATGCATGCAGGTTTAATGAACCAGTTGATTAAAACACACAACGATGACTAGACCAAGATTTCTTTAATTGGGTAACAGCTCTCCTTCTGGGTCTTGTTTGCTCATGTTCCCAGTGTCAAGACCCACGGTAGCCTTCTATTAGGAACCTTTGGGGGTATGCGATCCTAATGGGGGCTGTTACCTTTGAATCCTTCCCCCCAGCTGTCTAATTTTCCAATTCTTTCAGCCTGATGCAGCACAAAATGTCCACGAGGCAGTGTCTGATCCAAGCAGGCAATTTTTATTACAGGGAACAGATTGTCCATCTTAACAAGTACATTAATTGTTGCAATAATGGAAAATGTTCACTGCGGACACAAATGATGAATTAGAGAGGAAGTTAAGGTGTCTGCAGCAATAATGAGCTCCTGCGTGATTCATGCTCAAGAAGTAGCCAAAAATAACATTAACACCTTGACTTCCATTGGTTTATTTTAAACTATCAAAAAGCTCCAGAGCTAAAGAAAACCTGGGGCAAAGAAACGCACATGAGGCACACGCCGGACAAAGTTAAACCCTTTTAAGTCCATTGATTTCAGTGGGACACCATGTGTTTCACAGGTCCACGCCCTGACTTGAGGAACGGCTAAGGGAGCTGGGCATGTTTAGCCTGGAGAATAGGAGGTTAAGGGGTGATATGATAGCCATGTTCAAATATATAAAAGGATGTCACATAGAGGAGGGAGAAAGGTTGTTTTCGGCTGCTCCAGAGAAGCGGACACGGAGCAATGGATCCAAACTACAAGAAAGAAGATTCCACCTAAACATTAGGAAGAACTTCCTGACAGTAAGAGCTGTTTGACAGTGGAATTTGCTGCCAAGGAGTGTGGTGGAGTCTCCTTCTTTGGAGGTCTTTAAGCAGAGGCTTGACAACCATATGTCAGGAGTGCTCTGATGGTGTTTCCTGCTTGGCAGGGGGTTGGACTCAGTGGCCCTTGTGGTCTCTTCCAACTCTATGATTCTATGATTCTGTGATTCTATGACTTGCTATCTTAAATTCCTAATGACACCATTTCAGATGGTGGTGATGAGAGAAGTGGAGAGGGGCCTTTCTATCTGGCTAAAATAGCTATTCTGGGTTTCTCCTGCATACCCCAAGTATATCAGCTCTTGCAAATCAGTATATAAACATGGCAGTGACTGTCTCCAGCCTTCAGCAATATTATAAATCTGAGTAAGACTTTTAAGAGAATTAATTTTAGGAAAGCACAGGCTCAGTTATAAAAGACACCTCTGTATCGAAATGTACTTTACTAACTCCGCACATAGCCACTGTTTCTTGTTTTTTGTAAGTTCATTGCTGTGTGAGTGGTGTTAAATATTTGACTTAATTTATTACCCTAAAAACTCAGTATGTTGGAGATATGGGAATATCAGCCAAACATTTTCATTAGTTCATTTTTAAATTTATTTTGTACACAATTTTGCTTTCCCTGTGTCTTCCTCAAACAATATTCTGCTTTTTCCATTTATTTTCTTATTAAGAATTTATCACATAATTTTATTTTTGTTCTCCCTTTTATCATGTGCACAGGTCTCAAAATAAACATGGGATCCATTAAATGATTCTGTTTTGTCCATGTAAGTGGAACCAGATCAAGGAAATGTCACTTTTGTGCTGTGTAAATGCAGTGGGGTGTTGTTTTGCATGTTGACTTTGATTAGCTAGTTAAGGAACAGTTCACCAGGAAAGTTCTCCTACACAAGCCCCATGAGATAAACTGGAACTGTAGGATTATTATTACTGTATAAATTAGCCTGTAAAGGACATTTTACATTTGTAGTAGCCTCAAGGCTTCTATTCTTTGACTCATGCTGGTAAATAACTGTTCAAGCAGGGATAGTTCTCCATTAAAACCATAGTTTCTGATGTGTTTCTAAAGCCAAGCAAATTGTCTTATTTAGTTATAAAAAATAGTCTTGGTGAGGTTTGGTACTGAAAATGCCTTCCAAAACAAAATGGCCTGATACTTCCAACTCTGTAATACAGAAATTGGGCATAGGTGGCCAATCATTGTGGCAAAGTCCAAAGAATAAGATAAGGCAGTCCAATTCCTTAGTGCAGTTTTTCAAAGAATAATGATATAAATGTGTATAGCACTTTCAAGTGTTCAAAGCAGTTCACATCATACTCTCCAACATTTCTCTGATGAAAATAGAGACATCCCATTCCTGCCCTGTGGAACGCCCTCCCACTAGATGTCAAAGAGAACAACAACTACCAGACTTTGAGAAGACATCTGAAGGCACCCCTGTTTAGGGAAGTTTTTCATGTTTGATGCATTACTGTATTTTAATATTTTGTTGGAAGGCGCCCAGAGTGGCTGGGGAGGCCCAACCAGGTGGGTGGGGTATAAATAATAAATTATTATTATTATAAAGATAATTTTACTATTTAAACCCCACACATCTTACTGGGTTGTCCCAGCCACTCTGGGCAGCTTCCGACATATATAAAAACATAATAAAACATTAAACATTTTCTTTTTTTAAAAAAAAATCTTCCCTATATGGGGTTGCCTTCAGATGGCTCTGGGGTCGGATAACTCCATACCCTACAACATTTCTCCAATGAAAATAGGGACATCCTAAGGAAAAGTGGGACATTCCGGGATCAAATCAGGAACCGGGACAGCTTCTCTAAATCAGGGATGTCCCTGGAATATAGGGGCACTTGGAGGGTCTGTCACATTCATTATCTAGCTGTAATCCTTAAAACATACTGGGGAGAAGGCTAAGCTGATTATTCTTTTTATCCATGACATTCTAATTTTCTACATTCAGCGAGTTCTTCCCAAGGAGGGCATGTCAAGAATGCAGCTTAAAGAATGCCAGCTTCCATCTCCCAGTTTCCTCTCTCCTCCTCTCTTTCCCGTTCAATTTGTTTGTTCAGGTACAAATGCTCCACGGTTTTCCCATTGGATCATTCTATGCAGTGGCGTAGCGTGGGTTGTCAGCACCCGGGGCAAGGCAAGTAATTTGCACCCCCTAACCCGTGGATTTTAGTAGGGGCAGAGAGCTGCGAGTGCGAGTGCGGCCCCCCCCAAATGTTGCGCCCGGCCCCCCCTGAACCCCCCACGCTACGCCACTGATTCTATGTTAACCTACACAGGTAATTTGACATGTTGGCCTTGGGTTTTGCTTTCTGTTCTTTTATCAGTGTGCAGTGGAAAGGCTTTGAAGTTTTGTTAAGTTTCAAAGACCCATTGAAACTGACTTACACTGAACTGCTATTTGGACCTTTCGCTTTATATATGTTCAAGATACTGGCTATAATCCAGACCGTGGCATAACTGTGTTTCACCCTGTTCTGCCCCCCCAGGGATGCAGGTCCTGGAATGGAATGGCATTCCCTTGACGGCCAAAACCTATGAAGAAGTCCAGAGTATCATCAGTCAGCAGAGTGGGGAAGCAGAAATATGTGTAAGACTGTGAGTTTTTCCTCATCTTTCTGTTTCCATTATTTTTGGCTTTTCATGGCTTTTCTATTCACAATTGTTAAGGTGGAACCCGTGAAACACTTTGTGCACCGTTTATATCTAAAAAGGAAAGAAGCTTGGTGCACATATTAGAGGAGAATTTCTTTGTTCCTTGCTATAAACTGAAGAGTAAATATAGACTTTCAGGTACCATCCACAGCCTATTGAAATTTATGGCCAAGTTCCCATGGATGTTAACAGGTCAGTTGACTCCCTTTGATGTCTTCTGGGGGGCTGTGTGTTGAATTTCTCTCTGTGATTGGAAAAGGTTAATCAAAATGAGTTTGGGTGAGTGCTTAAATGTAAGAGTGAAACCAAATAATCCTCTGCTGGAAGCGCAGTGGGAGCTTGTGCTGCATAAAACAAGGGGATTCTGCATTCAAATTTCAGTACCGTCATAGTAAGTTGCTATGATTCAGGCCTAATGAGTGCAAGAAAGGAGGAATAATGCCCAGGACCGCTGTGGAGATGAAACATAGCTGGTTTCAAAGCTCATTGTGAGTGAAAGTGTTGTGACAATGTTAGGTAAATAAATGATACATCTAGCTCATCTGAACATTGTGGAAAGTGGTTGTATTTCAGTGTAAACCTGCATTTATTCCATTTAAAAATCCACCACAGAACTGCCATTTTTCTCAGCTCTTCGACTTGAATAGCGTTACAAACACGTATCAGCCCCAAAAGGGGTCATGCTTGGGAGCTGCTTTCCACCATAATCCATGTCTCATTTATCTACTCTAATACCGCAATGAGGGTGGGCCAAGGGTTCCTTTTGTCTCAGGCTCCTTATGGCTTCCTTTAGGGATCTCAACATGATGTCAGATGCCGAGAATCCACAACATCTGGATTTGCTTGAGCCAGGAAAGACTGGTAGGTAAAAACAATTTGCTTTTCAGTGACACAGGCCACAAATTGTGATTCTGGTACATTTAGAACACACGGTCAAGTACCTTTGAATAGGCAGCAAAAAATGGAAGCAAATATGTCCCATTTCTTCTCAGTGGATGACAACTTTGGTCAAATATGCAGAGAATGGACTATTTGTTTGCTGGTGCTGATACGAAGATGGCACAGCCAGCACCGACTTTTAAAACTTTTTTCAGCTCTGGTTTGGGAGTGATATGACAAATTGCTCTTTGGATAATTGAAATTGGCTGTGTTGATATTTTTCCATTTCATTTCACTAAACCTTTGATACATTTGATACATGGGCAAACAAATGATTTTAGAGCAAACATCAGAACTGATGGTCTTCAATTTGAGTATTTGAGCTTAATATAGAGAATTGGGGGTGGGGGAGTAAGGGACCCACATACAGTTGGTCATCATTATGTCCCACAAGAAATCACACCAAAAAAATGGGCTAGAGACCTTCTAGCCCTTTGGGGGTTATGCTTCTTACTGTAATAAATGCAAATATCCTCAGGTTTAAGGGAAAGAAACTGATTTGCAGATCCATAGCTAAAATGCTTGTGCTGAAAGGTTCAGGAGGTGGGCGGGGAAGCAGGAAAGGGCATTGCATTTCAGTATGTTTGATGATATTTTTTAAAATTTCAAAGGATACAAAAGTTACACAAAAACAAAAAATACAAAAAGTAAAAATACAAGAAAACAGAAAATACGGAAAAAAGAATAAAGAACAAAAATAAAACAGGTTCATTATTTTCAGACCCTTAACTGTCATTACCTACTTTCGTAGACCTCCTCCTCCTCCCTTCCTTTGTATTCTAGTTATTAATTATCCCAGCAAATCTTTTCCTTTCCATGTTTCATAAGATTCTATCATTACATTACCCTCGACTAATTTAATCCTATCTTTCTATAATAAAATAAACCTTAAAATTTAAAACTTAAGTCTTAACCTTACCAGCTTCTTATAATCATAATATTCTTTCATAATTCTTTATGCATCTTTACTAAAGCCAGGTAATTTCTTCCAACATTTTTCTATCATTCATCAACTTTATAAAACATTCTGATAATAAAGAAAGAGTAAAAGAAAGATATAGACAAGTCCAATCTTTATCCAACGTCCCTTCCTCCTGGTTCCGGGATTTGTCAGTCCTTATTCCCATCAGTCTAACCCGGTAACCTTATGTCCGAGGCCCTCAGGTCACTTCCATGGCCCTTCCGCAGCTCTTCTTCATATTTATAACTGTAATTTCCCTTATCTCCTCGTGGTAACTCCAGCTTGACAATGTCTCTTGCTCGTGGTAGCTCCAACTTAATAATGTTTTTAACCCTTCTCATCAGATCAGACCCTTTTCCATATTCATCGCTGCATTCCATGTAGTATTTAAAAGCATGTTTCAAGGGCCCTCCAAAATTGTGCATTTCAGTATGAACTGGCAAACCCTTTGCTATCAGTAAACTGCTTGAGATTATTCAGTCTATTACAGTTGTGTAATGCTTTGACTCTAAAGAGCCCCAATGAGCATGGAACGTCCACAATACAGTGGTGGAGCACATTCTCTCTTTTCCACAAGTCTATTTCATATGGTTTTATTCTTGCTTTAAATGCATTTGTTGATTAATAAGCCAGTAATAAGAATACTAATCCAAATGATGCTGTTAATGTACAGAGTTCCTGCATTCTTCACTGGTGTCTCTGGATAGGTCTGGGAAGCCACAGCCAATTACAAGAGTGTTGACAGGTCTGAGCTAGATGGACCAGTTATCTGACTCAGCATAAGGGAGCTTCCACATTCACAAAGGAGATGTGCTGATTTCACTGCCCACAGCTGCAGCCCCATGAGACATATCCAACACTTAGGACTGGCTTTTCAAAAGGCGCAGGAGAGGGCATAATGAAGAAGGAAGGGAAGCCTGGTGCACAAGCCGAATTCTCCCTGCAGTTCTTTAAGAAATCTTTTTTTCCCTATTTTCTAAATACATTTTTATTGGCTATTCTTTATTGCAGTTCTTTTGACCCAGTCTTACAAAATAAAACTTAATTGTGATTTTAAAAATGCCAAAGTACTTTGTCCGTTGCCCCGGTGCCTTTGCACTCATTGGCTCGCAGACAGGAGAAGGTCTACTTCTTACCAAACACTGAAGTCCAACACCATTTTCCCGTTTTTATATACATCATGAGTCAAAGAACTAGAGACTTATGTTTTGAAAAGCTAAAGGTTCAGGAGAGTGAGTAAGTTCCCTGCACAACACATACACATGCTGACTTAGTTGAAAAGCTGGCTGAGATTATAAAGTTTTACAATTTGGTTTATTGTCCAAGGTTTTGTTACTTGGTTAGCTGTTTTCTTCCCCTTTGTGCTCTAAGAACGGGGGAAGTTACTAGCATGAATTGCCATTCTTCCATCCCAAGCTGGGAGAGTTGCAGAAATGAATACAAAAACATTTGCTTGCAGTGGATAAAACAAAGTCGCCCGGGGTGGACCCAAAGCAACTGGCTGCAGAGCTGCAAAAGGTTTCCCTGCAACAGGCTCCCTTGATGGCCTCCTCCGCAATGGAAAAGAGCTCCCATGCTCATTCTGGGACTACGTCAGCCAACTCGAGTTCTGTTCCTAGCCCTGGTCAGCCTGGTTCTCCTTCGGTCAGCAAGAAACGGCACAGTAGCAAGGTATGAATTCGTTTGTTTTGGCTTTTTTGTGTATGAATGCAGAGGTGGATATATGCATTTTCATATCGAGACCATAAAGAAGCTTAAAGAAGAGATTCCAGTGTTCCCGTGTTAACAACAGGGGTACTGGGGCTGCTTCACTCTGGCTGCGTTCTGAGCAGCTCAGAGGCACTGGCAGTCTGGAATGGCAAGGGAGGCATTTTGATATGTTCAGTTAAGACCCGTGTAATGCTTTGACTGAGCTAGCATCTCTTCTCACTGATAATGAGTCATCACTAACAGGGCCTGTTTGGGGTTTCCTTGTGATTTCGATTTTGAGTATCACAACAGGGCTGTCACTTTGACCCACCAAATTTATTCAGAGTTCACATTGAAGTACTCAAAAACTTTCTGAGGGTTGTGTTTCCTATTGATTGTACTTCAAGTAGATGAAGAGGCCTTCAGTGGGATTCAAAGGACTCAATGTGTAGCATTTGATGCATGTCTGCTGCAGAAAACTCTTGGGTGTGGTTTCGTTTAGATTTCCTCTTGCTTTAAAATTCTGTTCTCTTACCATAGTTCTACAACCTAGCAGTTCAAAAGCACACCAGTGCAAGTAGATAAATAGTTACCACTGCGGTGGAAAGGTAAACGACATTTCCGTGCACTTTGGCACTCGTCAAGGTCCTCCTTGCGCCAGAAGTGGTTTAGTCATGCTGGCCCCGGAAAGCTGTCTATGGACAAACCCTGGCCCCCTTGGCCTGAAGCGAGATGAGCGCCACAACCCCATAGTCACCTTTGACTGAACTTAACCATCCAGGTTAAGTTACCTTTACTTTAGTTCTACAACAACAAAAAAGCAGTTCTTAGCAGAGAAGCTTGCCATCATGACAGCCACCTCTGGCGAGTCCTGGAAGATTACTTTGACAAAGCTTCAATGTCTAAAGAACTGAACAAAAGAAAGCAAATTACACAGCACAGAAAGGAGTTGACCTTTTGGTGTAATATACTGACCACACCCCGTGCTAGCCTGCTTGTTCTTTTATCATTTGATGGATAATCATGTTGTCTAATTTTAAATGTCCTTTGAGAGTAATTAGTTGCGCTTTTCCACCTACAGAAGAACTTGAGTTGTGCTTATATCTAAAGGAAAAACATTTGATGATATTTACCAGCAGAAATTAGGCAAGAGTAACAATATTAGTGACAAATATTGGAACACTTGGTTGCTTAGGTCAGAGTTCTTGGCATGCAAAATTTGGGTTTCCATGGTATAACTAAAAAACCTGTACAGTGCTGACAATGACTTCTTCTTTTCGAAGTTTGTAGAATATCTAGCCCTTTTTGATCCTATCATGAGTGAACATTGGTGTAGAGCTAAAGATCAAGAAAAAAAATGGTTCACTACCTAGGAAAGGATATCCAAAATTAGCTGATACAGCTTCTAGTAGGTGCTATAAAGAAGAAACTTTTAGCTCAGGCAAACTTAGCCAAATACTACTCGGTTATTCTGAATTGCACAGCTAGTGTTAGTCTTGTTGAACAAATGACAATGATTGCACGTTATGTTGATGAAATCAAATGATCTGCTAATGAGATGTCTGAGCCAGAAGTTATTGGGATTTGTTACACAAAAGGAGACCACGGGTGCCTTTATGACAGAAACTCTTTTTGGACAGTTTGAACAAATGGCATTGCCAACTGAAAATCTGTTTGGAATGGGCAAAGATATGATAACATGAAAGGCCTGGACATAAATCCACCTGCCTTTTTATGCCCTGCTATGCAAACTCTTTAAACTTTGTAATCAGTGATGCTGCTAAGTGTTGTCTGGAAACAACTCATTTCTTAAGTTTGGTTTAAAGAATCATACACTCATTTCTCTGCATTGAATCGGAAGGACTGTTCAAAAGTGTTTTGTGATATTACATGAGGAGGAAAGTTAAAAAATCCTGTTTAGCCTCCCCACGCTCTTCAGTGTATGCAAGTAACTTCCTGCCTGGTTATTTTATATATGAGATTAAGCAGTATTAACATTTAGGGTTTGTTTTGATCTTGACATGTGTCATTTCAGTGGTGTCATTTGCCCACAGAAGTCAAATTCTCATGTAAAGTGTCACATTCAAAACTTGTGTGGTCAATTTCATTTCAGTTATAATGTTTGTACCACCAAAGTCAGTAGTCTTAATCATGTAGGTATAAGAATGGTAGGAATAATGATCGTAATGCTAGAAATATTCATAGCAAGAAATACTATTTAAAAATGAAATGATTTACAACTGTGTTTCTTTCTTTGAATATGGCAGCCCACGGAAGGTACAAAGTCTGGTTCCCATCCAATTACTGGAGAAATTCAGGTAACAATCTAATATTAGCATTTATGGATGCTATAAATGGATAATAGAACAGAATTATCATTGTTTGATTCTTAGACTGCCAACATTGCACAAATTGTAAATCAATGCTAAAAATAGATTTTAAAAAATCAGTTGTGTGGAATGCAAATGCTGATGACTAATATTAATCCAGTTGCTGCTTCCTGAGGAAGGGAAGAGCTACGAATTCAATTTTAATTTGAGGAATTGCACAGTGCACATTTATGCAAATTCCTGTATGGATGTTCCAGACAGGAATTCCATTATTCCTGTGCCACGATACAAAACTAAAAGTATAGGGTTGTATACAGTGCTTTTTTCTGGGGGTACGCAGGGGTACACATACCCCTAAACATTTTGTGAATCTTTGTACTTTTGTCCATTTACAGTATTTATTTTTCCCGATTTGAACTATAAAATGGTGATTTTCTTGAGTCAAAATGAGAGCACCCCTAAACATTTTTTAAGAAAAAAGCACTGGTTGTATACAGTGACATTGCTCAGCTGACAGCAATACTTCTACCCACAAAAAAGGGAGGGAATCGATGTCCAGGGATATCCCCTCTTGCAGCTCTGTGCAGCTCTGCTGTGGGGAAAGGACAAATCACCCTAAAATTCCTTCCTTCCTAATTCCTTTCCATCACCTGCAACACTCTTGTATACAACCCATAGTCAGAGTTATGGGAAAAGAATAGACACCTGCTGGTTTTGATCCAGAGTTCTGTGAGCAGAACTCCGCTTGTGGGACTCTTCCTTAGTCCTACAGCTCCCAGTGCTTCCAGCAAAGTTGCTTCAGGACAGTGTGGGAGGTGGTGGGAAGGACTACAGGGGAAATTGAAGTGTGCCCGCTGGATCTCAGCCCCTTCCACAATCAGAAGGAGCCTTCCTTCACAGAAGAGACACTCTCAAAACAACTCCTGTTCTTCCTGTTTCCAGTGATATAGTTGCATTCTTCTTCTTTTGTTCAAATCAATAGTTATTTTGCTATAAGCATTTGCAATGGGAGCAGGTCAGTTGTTTTAAGGGGCTGGGATCCAAATAACTGCACAACTACTTCCTGCTGTAGACCAGCCCCCCCCCCCATGCCAGACTGCAAACCACCTTGAGCACAGAGTGGGTGTCCCAAAGCAGTTTGTGATACGGCAGGGGAATTTGCTGGTCGAAGGAAGCAAAGTCAGAAAACCCACAGGGCGTGCACATTGCATTTCTGTATTTTATTGTCCTGTAAATCACTATGGACCTGCATTTAGCTGTGCAAAGAGGTATATAAATATAATTACCCGGTAACTGATTCAGGAGTGCTTAAAAAAAACAAAACCTTCAACTTGCAAATGACTACTGTATCTTAAGCGCCAACAAATCTCTGCCCCACTCTCAGCTTCTTGAAAGCATAATAAATATAGGAAGAGTAGATTAGGAGTTCTAGAGATGCAAAGAGCTGCTTGGTAAACTCTCAGTACAGAAAAACGAACAAACAATATAGATCAATATGACATAGTGCCCTTAAATGGATAAATGCTTACATTTACCAGAAAATTCTAAGATTTTAGAAGGATCTTTAAAAAAAAAAAATGCTGCACATACAAACACATTAATGTCTGCTTTAAAAACTTTTCAGGGAAGAAATGTTAAAAAGAACTATGTAAGAATATGCTATGGTTATGAGAAATTGGTATAAATAAGTTTTAAGTTTTAGGGTTCTTTATGGTAAGATAAGGTTAAAATAGATTAAGGTAATTTAATGACAGAATATTATGAAAAATGGAAAGGATTTGCTGTGACAATCAACAACTAGAATACAAAAAAGGGAGATGTGAGGAGGTCGATGAAATAAGGTAATGACAGTTAAGGATTTGGGAATATTGGATCTGTTTTTAAATCTTTGTGGCTTATCTTTGATTTCTGATTTTGATGTGTTATGTGTTTTGTTTTTGCTTTTTGATTTTGACTTTTATCGATTTGTATTGTTTAATTGCTATTTGTTTCTTGTTTTTTCCTTCTTTTTCTGTTTGGTTTTTTTTGTAATTTTAAAATTCTCAATAAACATCATTTAAAAAAAAAACTTTTCAGGGAAATATGCTTCTATTCTCTTTCTCTGTAGAGGAAGATTAAATCATCTGCTTGAAACAAACTTCTTATGAGATTCATTTAGGAAAGCTATGAAGATGCATTACTGAATTTTAGTGTTGGAGAATGTTAAAAAGTAACCTGTAGTAATAGATATTACTTTGAAATGACATTATTTGGGAAATGATTAATGGCAACCAATGTTATGCTTAGCTTCAAATCAACTATGACAAGCACCTTGGCAATTTGATAATTCACATTCTTCAAGCAAGAAACCTTGTTCCCCGTGACAACAACGGCTATTCGGACCCGTTTGTCAAAGTTTATCTTCTACCAGGAAGAGGGTAAGTGGAGGGGTGATTTCAACTACTAACTGCTGTTAACACAACAGGTTTCCCATTGCTGACCTTCAAGAGATCCATTTCTTATCAACTAATCTGAACACTCATTTCATGTGGGCCTCACTGTCACCCTCTGCAAACTACAACAAGGCTGGTGGGCAAATTGTATTTTAGGAAAGCTTGTTCACCCACAGTTTGCTCATCTTTTGTATACAGTGTAATCTCACTGTGTACATGTTGTACAAGTGACAATAAAGTATTTCATATTTCCAGGAAGCTGCCTTATGCTCAGTCCGACCATTGGTCTGTCTGACTCAGTGTTGTGTACACAACAGCAGCGCTCCAAGATTTCGGGCAGGAGTCTCTCCCAACCCTTAGAGAATTTTGTTGATTAAGGCATATATAAATCTTGTCAAATAATTAAATGAACACTACCTGGAGTTGACTAACACACCACCAATTACATGCCCTCTTAAACAATCCAGTAGTAAAATCAGCAGCAACTAGGCCCTTGACAACCTCCACCTAACAACAAAGGGACACGGCAAAGGGGTGGTATCTACAATATACAAAATACTACTCCAAAATCCCACAAACTCCCTAGATGTAACCCAAAAACAATGGGAGGACAACATAGGCTATGAGATTAACCCCATTCAGTGGACCAGAATGTGGTCTAAACCTCCCTTTAAATCCATATCAACGAAAAGGAAATAACTCACTCTGAAACTCACTTACAGGTGGTAAAATATGTTTAAAAAAAACAACACTACCTGGAGTTGCAAGGGATTGAACCTGGGCCTTTTACATGTAAGCATGTTAATTTTCTCCTAGAGAAGCCCATGGGAACATGGCTGGAAAACTGGAAAACATTTAAATATAGTCAGGACTGTGAAGGAAAAGACATAACAAATATTTCAGAAATTTTATGTTAGATGTGTCTTCCATATTTAGTTGTCACTAATGATTATATACCCTAGCTGAAGAAATGCTCAAATGTTTTACCAGATGATTTGAATGAACTCACCAGCCCCGTTCAAACATAAAGTTAAACTGTGATTTAGCATATGAGGATGAGCAAGAATAAACCTTGGGCTTAAGCAGAACCCTCCCTTCCTTCTGAGGGAAGGAAGTTTAGATCTTCTCTTTGTGGTTTTCAGGAAACCACAGCTTCCCATTATGTCTGAATATGGTGCATTGTGGCTTGTCCAAGCCATAGTTAATTAATCCAAACTAGGATCAAACCATGGTTTAATATTGTAAACTCTTCATGGTTTGAACAACCTACAGTTCTCCATATTTAGACATGACTGGAATCTACCATTTGTACCAGGAATTAAAGCTTTAAGCTTCCTCCACTCTTGTGTAAAGAGAGGAAAGAGAAAAGGGACAGAGGGAGCCCAAGGATTGTACCTGCTTGTCCATTTAATGTTACAATGATGCTTTAGCCTTATGTCTGAATCTAGTCTGATAGTAACTATCTCTGATTACTTTTCCATGTTAAACTGCCTGGAGTGGTTAATGTTTCTATTTCTCATAATATATATACCCATTATTTCTTGTTTGCATAAAATGCTCTAAATATCTTCTCTCCCCTGGTTTTCTCTTCTTCTGCTTCCTGTTTGTTCCCATCATTCTTCAACACATTGTTGCCCTGGGGCCTTGCAGCCAAGTCATGGTAGTCCAGAATGCAAGGTAAAGTACATTATTATTCACTGATTCTCTGATTATTCTAAGCATGAACTACGTAATATCCTGGGCACGCAACTATCGTTTCCTAGAATTTCAGGGGCCTGTGAAGTAGCTGACATTTGGTGTTCTAGTGCAGGTTAAATTTCTATAACACACAATTGTTACAGAAACAAGCAACAAGCAATTGTTCCAGTAGCTTCAAGGTTCAGTGGGTGGGGAGTGGAACTAGTAGTTTAATTGTTATTTTAAGGACTGGAGATGGTGACCCTTCTTTTGATACGTGAGGAAGTAGTGATCTGAGGACTTGTCTTATATGTATTTTATTGAAATTTCTATAGGAGAGAATGCTGAAAAAATAGTTAATTATGAATTCACCTGGTGTGGTTTTTTTCCTGGGAAAAAAAAAGAGTTATCAAAACTTTTGGGGCTTCTTTTGACATGCTCCAGATGTTTCACCTGAGAATAAAACTCAGATTTTCTCAAAATGTTACTTTAGGGAAAATCCAATGACAGTCTAGAGGTGGGCAAAACTACCTGTGAAAAATGTTACTATTCTTGTGGGAGGTTTTCTGTTAGCTTTCATGGACATTTGCTTTTGGTGGAATGAGAGCAGCACATCTTAAACCCACTTTTTCTGATATGAATATTGTTCAATGCAGACAGTTCTCTTTAATTATCAGTCACTGCAATCCATTATATACTTGTCACCAGATGTAAAAAGTCTGCCTAGCGGGGAGTTCTCACTTTAAAATTGTACAGTGCCTTAAACATAGCTTTTAATTCTCTCTGGGATTTGCTTGATATTTCCTTGTTCCTGCTTTTAATATATTCATCTCACTGCTAATTAAATTATGCTTCTTTAAGGCTGATAGTGGTTGTAATGTCATACGCTACATTTGAACAGACACTGGTTGCATTGGGGGCACCATTTGGCTGTAATTGCCAACCGTATAAATCTGGTGTGGTGCCAGCAGCATACCACTGCAAATGCTTCTTTTTTTCTGCTCTCTGTGCAATAATGACATGCTCTTAAAGAGAATGCTATTTCTGGAGCAGAGCTGTTTTATCAGAATTCACTGTTTTTGACAAATGAAGGAAGACAAGTCAGCTTTAGGACTATGAAATAGTTCCAGTGCTAACCTTAAAGTGAAAGCTGGACCATAAAGAAGGCTGATCGCCGAATAATTGATGCTTTTGAATTCTGGTGCTAGAGGAGACTCTTGAGAGTCCCATGGATTGCAAGAAGATCAAACCTCTCCATTCTGAAGGAATTCAGCCCTGAGTGCTCACGGGAAGGACAGATCCTGAAGCTGAGGCTCCAATACTTTGGCCACCTCATGAGAAGAGAAGACTCCCTGGAAAAGACCCTGATGTTGGGAAAGATGGGGGCACAAGGAGAAGGGGACGACAGAGGACGAGATGGTTGGACAGTGTTCTCGAAGCTACCAGCATGAGTTTGACCAAACTGCGGGAGGCAGTGGAAGACAGGAGTGCCTGGTGTGCTCTGGTCCATGGGGTCACGAAGAGTCGGACACGACTAAACAACTAAACAACAACAACAAATCTTAAAGGGCAGTCGTGTGAAAACAATGAAGTTCTGCAAAAGATATGTAGCATCTCTCTTAAAATCTGACTATGGTGATTCTGGGACAGTGAGGTGGTGGATCTGTAACCATTCAGCTTTCCTCAAAATGATATCTGATTAGATTATGTGATAGTAAAATGCAGCATGTGGTCTAGAACCATCATATTGTGATGGGAAAGGATGCCATCGGTTTTGTAGTCTCAGCCTTCAGAAAACACAACACAATAAAATACATTGTAAATCAAATAATTCATCAAAACCTCTGAAATGCCCTATAGAAAAAGGAGCTTCGAAGCCTGCTTTAAAGGATCAATATTAAATTAGTGTTTCTATCATTAACAGGATGGAGCTTGCATCAGAGCTTCCCTTTCATGTTTTTTAGGGATGACTCTCCTATGATTAAAGATGAGAAAATAATACAGAGAATTAAATCCATCTCAGCTTGATAGCCGCAAGGAAGTTGTTCAAGAAAACCAATACATCACTATTTACTCTTACAATGAGAAAGGCTGTTGTAAACAAACAGGAGCAATTTGTAAATGCAACCAAGATATTTGTGTTGTTGTCAGTCACAGGCAACAGAGGTTGGGAGGTTTCTTAGTAGACAGGCTGCAAATTCAAAAGTTTTATTTTAAAGACTGAATTGGGAGATTGTTCAGCAGAAGATTATCATTTACAGCAGATCAACTGACATTATTCTGTGCCAGCCTGAATGATTGGTTTATTTATTTTTATCAGTTGCACTGAAATTGTTTCTGCCTTGGAGCAGGTGGAGACAAGTATAAGTAATGACATGTTTTGTTCCTTTGTTCCGCTTCAGTGTTGAGAACAAGAGGAGGACTAAATATGTGCAGAAAAGCTTGAATCCTGAATGGAACCAGACAGTCATTTATAAAAATATATCCATGGAGCAGGTATGTGACTGTAAGAGATATCTCATTGCAGGTGTGGTCTAATTCTGCTCCTGACTGTTCTCTAATGATGCCCTACACTTCTAAGAGTTTGTCTGTACTAAACTATTTCAACTGCGCCTGCCAGACTCCCCTGACCATATGAACTTTCCTGATTTCCGTTGCTTAAAAAAATCATCCCAGCCTTTGCTGCTATCCCCTCCCTCATCTCAGATCTATTTGCATAGCTAGCCACTAACATGCCTCTCTATGAAGGGGAAAGCTCTGCCAGCCACTGGCAGTTCAGGCCCTATGAGTGTGTAAATGAAATTTAGATTCTTTTCCCCAAGGTGCATCACTTTACACTTACTTACATTGAGTTGCATTTCTCATTTTACTGCCCATTCGCTCCCTTTGAAGAGGTTTATTTGGAGCTCTTCAAAATCTCATTTTGTTTTAAGCTCTCTGAACAATTAGATGCTCTCAACAAACTTTGTTACCTCACTGCTCACCCATAATGCTAAATCATTTATGATCAAGTTAAAAAACACAGGTACCTTGGGAAATTCTGCTTTCTACATCTCTCCATTGGCAGAAGACTCCACTAACTGTAATCTCTGCTTCCTATTTCTGAGCTAGTTACTGATCCACAATAGGATGTCTCCTCCTATTCCATGACTGCTGGGCTTACTCAGGAGTCTTTGGTGAGATACTCTGTCAAAAGATTTTTGAAAGTCTAAGTGCATAACGTCAACTGAATCATCTCCTATCTGTACACTTGCTGACACTCGCAAAAAACTGCTATAGGTTATGTAATAGACAGGACTTAGCCTTCCAGAAGCCATGCTGGTGCTTCTTCAGCAAGACTTGTTCTTACGTGCTTGGTAATTTTATCTCTAACATTTTCCCCCACCAGTTTTCCTGTAATAGACGTTAAGCCAATTGGCCCTCAATTTCTGATTTTAAAATGAACTTTGTTTCCATGTCGGTGTTTTAGCTCCCTCCCTAGACCATGTAAAAGTGGTTTGCACCCAACAGTGGTTATGGTTCAGTGACAGAAGTGAAAGGCTGATTTCTTGGATTTCTCTCCTATCCAGTACAATGTGAATGTGCCTAATAATTGGTTCAGTAATAGCTTATTGTGTGGAGGAAAATGTCGATGTATTATGGCTCCAAGTTTTTAATTAATTTAATGGTTAGATTAGTCAACAAAGGTTCTACTGATTAATCAGTGGGGGCAAATTCTAATTAGTGAAACAAAGCAAGCATACTTTTTATTTTGGAGCCATCTGCTCTAGTTTTGGTATGTTACCTGCAAGAGGTAATGAAAAAGAAAATACTGAGATGGCCTTCTAATGAGTGGTCATGTTCCAATTTGTAAATGATCTCATGATACTTTCCATATTTCATGAAGCCATCTGTGCTGAAAGTTTGGTAATATACAAATTTATTTAAATATGGAGGCTTAATGAGTAGAAAGAAAAACAATTTAAACTTTCTAAATTACTTTAGAGCCCAGAAATTTACCCACAGTTCTTGATTTAAGGGTGTATGGTGTGGTTTTAGTTGGAGGAAGCTGTCAAAAGTTGGGATTTGAAGCCGATCTAATTTCTGTTGAGGTGATAAACTTACAGCTGGACTGTACCTGCCACTTCAGACTGCAGGTGTCAGCTCACAGGACTGGATGCTTCTCCATACCCACAACAGCAAAAGCAAACAAACAAACCTTCTACGTAGGAAACTAAAGGAGAAGGGTTCACATTTAGCCTTCTCTATATTTTGATGCGGCGGGTAATCAAGTCATGTGAGCTGCTATCTGTGGTCTGAATAAGGGATGTAAGGAAGCAGCGATTTCTGCCCCATCCTGTGTTCATTGCAACCAGCCCTGATTCTCTTCAACAGTACGCTTTCTACATCTCCATCCAGACCAAGGTGAGGTCTTATCAGAGCTGAAGGACTCATCTGAGCAGGCAGAAACACATGGAGTACAGAGCCAGGCCAATGACGAGGGTGGCCTGGAGAGGCTTCCAAGGGCCTGATAGAGAAGCCCGAGGAGTCACATTTGGCTCCCAGACTTGAGGGTCACCACCCCTGAACTCCTGGTTTCTTTCCCCACCCTCTGTGCCCACCTACTGTTGCATAAAACTAGGACCTGGCTTGCTCCAGCAGGCAGAATGAGGAAAGGGACAGTCTGGAGTTTGGGCAGCTACAGACCCTTCTTGTGCCTTGGACTGTTCAAAGAGACTTTTGGTATAGGTCAGAGGTGGGAAACCTGTGGCCCTCCAGAGATTGCTGGACTCTGACTTCTGTTAGCTCCAGCCCATGTTACAAGACTTCCCCGTTTGTGCAGATTTCTAGGCAGGTCCCTCACCATTTCACAGGACATTAGTGATGGCTGGTTCACCAAATATTATGTGCAACATGTTAAGTTACCTCTTGGCAAACAGCTGGCTACATGGACCCATCATTTTGTTTGAACTGGTATGGCTTTGAGGTACTAGGGGTGTCCAAGATGTCTCATCTTTAGTCTATTGAATAGTTGTGTATATGGATGGGAACATCTGAGACATTTGTTGAAGCCGTGTTTGTGCGAAGACTGAATCCCAATTGCTACCTTTTTGGCATATACTATATTATGCAGGTTCGCTTTGAATGTGCACAGCCTTCTGAGGAAACTCTGAGGCTTAATAGCTATTGATATGCTTGTCCTTAAACCTAAGATAAAGGAGGAGGGAGAAGATCTGAAAAGCACTCTTTGAAATTATTCAGCCGTGTCTCACTGTGAATACCAATGCATTTTGACTTTGCCCAGAACACAGTAAAATCTACTCACTGGTGCTGAGCACTGAGGGAAGACATATAGATGCTATCAACTTTTTAAAAGTCACACTGTGGGCTTTGTATTGGGAGCACAGCCAAGCTGGGCAAAATAACTCCTCCAAGCTTGCATAGAACCTCGGCCGAGCTCATCTGTCTTGATATCAACTTTCAGCTTTACCCGAAATGAATTTTCTGAGTTCAAGGTTGATGGGAGGACAATAATTGCCTGGCTGTCATATTGAAAAAGAACGGGGGGTGCCGGCAGATGGCAACAAGCAAAGCATGCTTTATGGATTCGGTGCCAGATTCATGAAGGGGATTGAAATTAATTATCTTTTGATATTAACTGCAGCTAAAGAAGAAGACCCTGGAAGTTACTGTCTGGGACTATGATAGATTCTCCTCCAACGACTTCCTGGGTGAGGTGAGTATCCCTTATTTCTTGCTTCACTGCCTTCCCTCGCCTGACATAGTAGTCAGCTAAGAGTAGACTCATATCATGCATTTTTCATCCAGATGAGTAATTCTGATGTTCCTTGGATGCATGTTTCTGTGGAGAAAGGTGGGAAATCACAGATATAACCAGCAGCAATGGCTATGGCATTTCTCCAGATGCTGCCATTGTGGGAATTGATGCTGACTCGACTCATTTCAGACATCATGATAAACCATAGTTAAGGAAGCTTACCTATGGTATGGTGGTGTGGTGTCTGAATTAACAAACTATGGTCTGTGACTGGCTGGTAAACAAACTATGGTTTCATGTGGTTTTGCAAATCAAGGTTTGCGCTAACCCTGGTTTAATAGACAAACTATGGTTGCAACTACCATTCCTCTTCCAGAGGCTGCTGCGCCATGAACGTGGGAGTGAAATTACTAAGCTGAGTGCTGGCAGGATGGGAAACAGAAACAGAAAAGCTCCACCCCACAAATATAAATCACACATAAAGCACTTTTGCTGTTTTAGCATTCACAGGAGAACCTTGAGCATTGGGAGTTTATTGAGGACTAGAGGACTTTCAATCTCCAAGGCTGAAGTTTGTGGTGTGGATGCATGTTTTGTAGTTGCCTCAGAATAGGAACATGTCTTTTTACTTACGGTATTCTGTAAAACGCCATGTACAATAATATTGATGAAGACGACAACAGATACGGAAACATTAGGAAGAAAGGAATGATTGAAATTGTTTTAGCCCTCAGCCTTTTTTGCTTTTGCTTTTAAATGTCTCTGTTATTATATAGCATGCCGTATATAATTCTGAGAGTCTGTTTAGCATTCTCCACTGTTTCGACTGGAGCTAACGTGCATGTTAGCCAGATCAGAATCAGACATTGTAAGGTGTTCAATAACAAAATAATTTGCTCTCTGTATCCTCACATAGGTGTTAATTGAGCTTTCTAGTGCCTCTCAGTTGGACAATACTCCCCGGTGGTACACTCTGAAGGAGCAGAGTGAAAGCATTGACCATGGAAAATCCCACTCTGGACAGAACAGCCAGCAGTCCCCCAAACCGTCTGTCATCAAAAGCAGAAGTCACGGGATTTTCCCTGACCCATCAAAGGGTAGGAAATATTTTATCTGTGTGTGCTATAACTGTGTGGGTTATAACTTTTTTACAACTTCATGTTCCCAAGTAGCTTAGTTAGATGAACTTTTGCCTAAAAACAAAGAAATTATCTTTCATTTCCGAATCTTTTGGGGGGGGGAGTCACCCCAAAATCGATAAATCAATTTTTGCATATGTAACTGTATAATGCGTTGTGTGATATGCACAACATGTATTATAATACAGGAAAAACAGAACTTGCAATTCTTCTAATACTTGTATAATGTTTTGTACATTGTACATCGCTTCTTATTGCTTAGAATAAATAGAGGTTGAAGTTGGTCTTTGTCTCCCGCATGTCTTTGATAACCATTATATTTCCCCTGCAGATATGCAGGTGCCCACCATTGAGAAGTCCCACAGCAGTCCAGGAAGCTCCAAATCTTCCTCTGAAGGACACCTGCGCTCTCATGGGCCTTCGCGGAGCCAAAGCAAAACCAGCGTCACTCAAACGCACCTTGAAGATGCTGGGGCAGCCATCGCCGCTGCTGAAGCAGCTGTCCAACAGCTCCGCCTTCAACCAAGTAAAAGACGCAAATAAAATTCCTCAGCATGGCAGCTTAATGTTCAACTGTTGCCTTCCTCCCTGCCCCCCTCCTTCGCTTCCCACCCCCCAAACTCTTTCCCTGCTGGGCTTTTCTTTCTGCTCTTAGCACAATGTGTGTTCCACCTGTTCAGTGTTCTCTCCGTGTGTGTCTGTGTGTAGATCCATATAAATATAATATATTCCTCCTATTTAGAAGTCCTCTTTTATTTGCATAGAATGCAGTAGAACTGGCTGTTTCTCTACTGGGGTCTCCATTTGTCCACTGTCTGTCCACATCTTGTGGTAAAATTCTGCTGTGTGCTGTTGCTTTGGTGCCACTAAATGCCTCAACCATAATTCAAACTTCATAGACTTGGTTTCCAGCCTCCTAAGTAAGATCCTGCAGTTTAGCAAGGAACACAGATTGCTAACATTAGGAAGCAAATGAGAAAGAGACGTATTGGGCAATGTCACCCTTTGCAGCTCAAAGACCTTAAGAATGTCATAAGACTTTCCTGGGAAAAGGTCGCTCAGTGCTGATAAATGTTGACAGTTTTAATCTTTGGACAGGATTATTTGAAGCAACAGATGTTTTCTTAGGTCAATAGCATTTTTGTGGAGCACAAAAATTAACATATAGATAATTACTGAGGAAATATTGGTAACGTTAACAGCCATATCATTAGCTCTGCTAGAGTGACATTATTTAGGGGTGGGTTTGATTTTTTGTTGTTCTTAGTCTGCAGTGAGGTTGTACAATTACAACATTTACATACCCCCCTCCCGTCACAGAATTACAGGTTGAGGCTTTAGTCACCTGCAAATTAATATAATCCAACTGTAGCATCATTGTGTTTGTCTCCATGATTATTTGGTGTGCCATATAATCAGCATTGCATATTGCAGAAAGCAGAAAATAAATTTCCCTCCATCTTCTTCATTGTTGTTAATGAAAAAGAAACAGCCAGTTTAATTACCCTTTAATGCTGTGCATGTGGTGTCTCTTTGGTCTCTGAAGACACTTTGCCTATTTAAATCCAGAAGAGAAAACCCCCCACTTGTGTTTGCATGACTAACATTTAAGCTGGTTCCATCTGAGGATACATACTCTGGGTTTCCATTCCACCTACACTGCCACAGCAGCACATAAAAGCGGTCAGTCTAATCATGCAAGGAAGCAGCACAGACACAGCATAGCAGGAGTCCTCCCCATTCAAAGAACTCAGTCTGACAATCTGCCTTCACCAGCCAGTGACAACAAAGACCAAAGCCAACTAGCCCTCAGGAAAGTGATGTCTGATGGACCGGCCAAGCCTGAAGGAGGTGAGCCCAAAGACATGGCCAAGAAGTCAGCCTTAACCAAATGCCTTCTTGCCATGCCTGCTAATTCATCCTTACACATTGAAGTACTTATCTCTCCAGCCCTCTCTGCGGTATTCAGGTTGGGTTGAAAAACCCTAGGCTCATCTTACAGCTCATGTGCAAACCCCATTTTGAAAGATTGTGCTGAGTCCAAATTATAGAACGTTCTGAGACAGGGAAGCTCCAGCAGCACACACAAAAATGGGGCTAACTGGGCTCACACTGCCTACTAAATGGCATGCGTTTAACATAAATTGCTTAAGCATGATTAAACCATTCTTTTTATTTGAGTAAAGACTAGCATGGCACACTGGGATTTCAACTTGGACACAGCATTGGTTGTCGTTATCATTTGTACATCTAGTGTGTTTTCACCTGTGAAAGTTCACAGCAAGGAAGAAGAAGAAGAAGGAGGAGGAGGAGGAGGAGGAGGAGGAGGAGGAGGAGGAGGAGGAGAGATGATGTTCCTATTGACATGACACATAAAGCTATATCTACATTCAAAAGTCTTCTAGTTTGTCTCAGAAGGAGTCCTGGTCCTTTCCATAGATTTTGGAGTATTTTTAGGACAAAACTGCTTCTTGGGTGCCGAGGATAGAGACTGCTGCTCAACGGATGGAGGTTCCTCGACGGCAGTCCTTGCATGAAGAAGAGAGATCTGCAAATTGTAGGAGCCATCCCTTACCAGGACTGCCCTCTAGGAACCCCAGGAATAGAAATTCACAGTAAGAATTTCCATATCTCTCACGTTCATTTCTCTGAGAACCATTTCAGACAGAGGAAGGAGAAGAAGCCCTGTTACATGCTCCATTAGCTCTTCTTAGTCATGTCTGAAGGGGAGGTTTTACATCTCCTTACCCCAGGAATGGAATTATCTCTCTGAAATAGGAGATACACAATTCCCCATTGGACATGACAGAGTAATTTCGGTGACGAAAACATGACCAGAGTTTAAACTAGGGAGTGGGCATAGGCCTGCCAAGCATAGCTGCTCCCGCCTCAGCCTTCTTGTGCTGATCAGGAGTTTTGTCAGTGCAGTCAAGTGATCATGCCTGCAAGCACCCCTGGGGCCATTATCAAGGTTCCTGGTGGTCAGGAAGCTTGTGTGCCCAGCCCAATGTGTTTACAAGGCCTCTTCGGACCTTTCTACTCAACATGAGAAGTTCAGGAGTGTGGTGTGTGTGCCCAGCTTGTGTGGGGACATTTTGGGTGGAGGCATTGTGTATGTGCCTACTCCCCCTCCCCAGTTTAAGCCCTCGTGTATTCTTCTGAACACATGAAAAAGGCTGTGGTGATCCACTGATCCACATTCAATCTTTCTCCCACTCTTGGCTCCTATGGTGTGGCTGCAGTCGCCTTGGGGGACTGGAATGGTTATGGGAGTCTAGTCTTAGTTTCAAGCTGAAGCAGTGCTTTCAAAGATAGCATCTCCTTGGTGATCATTAAGAAAAGAAGGCCAGGGCTTCCCAACCAGCTATTTTAGCAACCAAAGTTACTTCTGCTTGGAAGATGGAGAGAGGCTGACTCTGCAAAGGATTCTGAATTGCAGAGAATGAGCACCTGTCACATCAACTGGCTAGCTCTCTCTAGGGAAACACTCTTTGGACTACCAAACTCAACAGACACAAGCTCTGGATACAAAAGCAGTGTCGAAGTTACAGAAGATCATTTCTTTTGAATCGATCTTTCGGTGTTGTCCTTATCCAACTGTGGAAGAGCATCATTAGCCTCTAATGCACTGATTTATTGATTGTCTTTTTACTTAGGTCAGGACCCTTTTGGGGGAGGGGGTATCATTGTCAACTAAAGTCTGGTCCCCAAGCTACTTCTCACAAGGCAAATTTACCACATCAGTTTCATGTGGTGAACATTCTGTTTGACTGACCCTACATATGATGAGAGAGTGCATTTTCCATGGCAGGAATCCACCCAAAACCATCATGTGACTTGATATCATAAATACTAGCTCTCACCATATGAGGTTCTTTTAAAGTAAAAATTCATGACGTGAAACTGGTGCATTAAAATTACTGTGGAAGAGTCCAAAGGTGATATGAGAATCAGGCATAAGAAAGTGATTTTGTAGGCAACATGACTGCAGATAAGCGGGTTCTTGAGCTCATGCTTAAAGTTGGAAATAGGACTTTTCTAAATTGCATGAGAAACTGACACAGCTAGGGGAGTTGCTCCACTGCAGAATTTGCATCTGAACACATAAGAAACCAGAACATGCCATGTGAAGACCAAGGTGTGATACAGAGGCTGAAGGGGTCGCCTGGCAGTCCATTTGTCCCTTAACATTGTCCCTCCATGCAAGTAAAGCCTGAATAGGCTCTGAAAGTGATCTCTCAAAGACTTTCCAGTCATCTTCATGGCAGTGTGGGGATTTGAACACAGGTCTTCTCTATCCGCTAAATCAACTGTCTCAAGGTTACCTCACTGGCAACGGAGCACAGAAAGAGTCCCTTTTGCATTTTTGGAGTTTCAATTTTCCTACTTCTGTACTTTAGCCCTTCATATAGATTGTTGTTTGTTTTTGTTTTTTATTTGTTTTGTTTTGTTACTGAATTGCTTTTAGGGCAACCATTATGACTGTGCAGGGAAAAGGGAGCTCATATCAATCTGACCCTTTCCTGTTCAGAGCTGTTTCAAAAACCAGGGCCTCTCTGGCATATTCAGTCATTGCTTTGCAAGAATCCTTCATGCTGTAAATAAATTTGCTGCTCAATAAACCTTCTTTGTAATTGGCTTCTCAGTACCTAATTCCCAGAAAAATTAAATGGGCTTTGTCACCGCCAAAAACGAAACAGTTTTCAGAGAGCCAACCCATTATTCAGTCTATAGACATCAATAATCTGTCGCTGGGCTCTGCTTTTTCCTGTTTGAGTGCTGTCACATTTCAGTGCTCTTGCTGTCGCTAGGTACTCTCCCACCTTTCTAAGGTGACATGCAATTTCATGAAATTGCTCAGATCTGAAAACTCCCATTTGGCAAATGTATTCGGCTGTGACCTGAACCTTTGGAGCATATGGAAACGAGTTGTTTGCAAAGCTTTGGAGCATCATGGCCCTAACCTGTGATACGCTATCATAAACTTATAAGCCATAGCTGGAGCACATTTTTTAAGAAACAACAACAGCAACCCACAACATGTATACATATATTAATCAATGTGTATTTTCTAGATAGCGCAATATCTGTTTTAGTTTTTAGTGGCGTTGTATTGTCCTGGGCAATAGTGTTGCTCAAATGCACACTGCTGCAGTTAATCATTGACAAGAATTATTTTGTATGACATTGCAGCTTCACATATTTCTCAATTTGCCCCAAATGAGAAAGGTAACAAGCACGGAGACATCAAAATAAGGAATGAATATAAATTTGTGGGTGGGTGAGGGAAATTCTCCAATATTTTTGTTGGAGATTTGTAAACTTAGCATGACTGGACTGGTATTGTTTCCTTTGGTCAATATTTGGAATAAAACAGAGACTGTAACATGTTCTAAGCTTTTAACTTGCAGTTGAGAAATATATTCAAGTAGTTATGTGGTGTCTAGAGAAGATGTTGCCTGTCTAGTATTTGTGTTCCTGATTCATCATTCAGGGTCCCCGCCCCCTTTTTACTGTGTACACTTTCTCAAAAGGCCTTCAGTAGTGTGACATTTGAGCTGTTGACCAGAATTAGTAAGGATTAATTGTACAATGTCATTGCTGTTACTAGATGAATATTGTTTCAATTTTCAAACCATTGTGAGGAAATTAAAATTGTATTTTCCAGTTATAAATTAGGCTTGATGTGTATTGTTGAAGAGGTTTCCCGGAACCTATTTAGAGCAACATTTTGTGAGAATTTTCCATTCTTACTTCACATGATTGCTAGGTGCTACTTGTATTGCTGACACTGATGTCTCTCTAGGCTGTTTGGTAATCCTTCATTCCTACCCTGTACAGCAAGACCTACGAACCACCGACCGGGAGAAAGTTCAGTCTCCTCCACTGGTTCTTCAGCCAGTACCTTTGGCAGCGGATACAGCATGGACAGTGAAGGAAGCAGCAGCAGTACCACCACTGCGGACACCAATCTCTTTCCCATTCCAAGAATGTAAGAATTTCTAAAAAATGTAATAAGTTGATGCTTTTACTAGCCATGGAAAGACGAATGAGAGTTTCCTACTTTAACACTCAAGGAACTGCCATATTTCCTCCCCAGCTTCCCAGCACATACTTACGTGCTACGTATGTGTGTGCTAAACAGTACACTGGTGGGATTAAAGATGTAGTTCCATTGAACACAGTATTTTAAACTTTTGTATATTTTCCCAGAATATAGTCATCAAACCAATGAAAATTAGAGCAGTGATAATAATATCTTTTTAAAAGAAAAAAATAGCCAACATAGCAGATGTCATAGCAAATATTATCTAGACACATGCCAATCTAGAATTCTGACAAAAGTTTGGTGAAAAGAAGCATGCAACAACCACAAGATTCAGTTCAGACTCCTAAAGCACTTGGGAGGCTGCTCAGTTTGGCCTGGGATCTAAATGCCAAGTTCACCTTAGGGGGAAAATGAAGCTTCGTTCCCTTCCCAAATTCCCTACAGTGGTACCTCTGGTTATGTACTTAATTCGTTCCAGAGGTCCATTCTTAACCGGAAACTGGTCTTCACCTGAAGCACCACTTTAGCTAATGGGGCCTCCTGCTGCTGCCACGCCACCAGAGCACAATTTCTGTTCTCATCCTGAAGCAAAGTTCTTAACCCGAGGTACTATTTCTGGGTTAGCGGAGTCTGTAACCTGAAGTGTATGTAACCTGAAACGTATGTAACCCAAGGTACCACTGTATTGGGAATTTTTGAAATGGCTATAACTTTCCCCCCCATTTCATAGAAATGGTTGAAGTTTTCAGGCATAATAGTCCACCCCGAGTGGACTAAGCCTGCAAAATTGCATGCAAATACAAACAGGTTGAGAGTGTTTTTGGCCTTGGCACCTTTTAAAGTTTGATTTCTTTGTTGTTTGGTTTTAGAATGAACCCTGAGCAGGGGACTCTGGGGTGGGGGGGGGGACCTATGAGGAAAGCTGCCATTCCCCTAAGTTATACTGAACCCAATTTATTAATGCAGAATAGAGTGGGGGAAATTGCACATTTTTAAGTAAAATATGTGTAGGTTTTACAAGCAACAAACCAACCCACCACTTTTGAAAATAACCTAATTCTGATATTGTTGGAAGTGACACTAACAATTTTCCTTCCCCCATTTCAGTGTGGGGCAGGAAAGGCAGCAAGGAGATAGACAAATCCTCGGGTATGCCAAGGATAGGAGGGTCTCTGCCAGGGTGAAGGAGAAGAAAGATAAAGAAGAGGGTGGACCTAGCCACCCTCCCCATTTCCCTCTGAAAAACTAGCTATCAACTGAATTTATTATGCTGATTAAATGTATGAATAAGCCAGTACCTGACAAATATTCTGCTAATGCAAATTTCCTTCTCAACTGACTAATCATTATTGACCATAGGAAATGCCAAGTGATTAATCAACTGACTAATCAGTATTTGGGGATCACAATAAATGACAAGGCTTTATTCTGTTCCCAAGGCAATATGTTTGAGGGCTCAGAAGCAGGACTGCGGCCACTTGAACTATGGCTTGTGAGACAAGGGTAGAATAGGTTGCAGTTGCTCTACTCTCTACTCTCCCAGTTTGGATAATCTTGCAAAGTCTTTCTCTTCTATGGCCCATTTCACATTTCATAGTAAAATCATAGTTAATGGTTTGCTATGAACAAACTATGATCCCTAGGTTAGCATTACATCCAAACACGCCAGAGTGGTGCATGCTCTAGTTATCTCTCACTTGGACTACTGCAATGCGCTCTACGTGGGGCTACCTTCAAAGGTGACCCGGAAATTACAACTAATCCAGAATGCAGCAGCTAGACTGGTGACTGGGAGCGGCCGCTGAGACCATATAACATTGGTCTTGAAAGACCTACATTGGCTCCCAGTACATTTCCGAGCACAATTCAAAGTGTTGGTGGTGACCTTTAAAGCCCTAAATGGCCTCGGCTCAGTATACCTGAAGGAGCATCTCCACCCCCATCATTCAGCCCAGACACTGAGGTGCAGCGCTGAGGGCCTTCTGGTGGTTCCCTCACTGCGAGAAGCTAAGTTACAGGGAACCAGGCAGAGGGCCTTCTCGGTAGTGGCACCCGCCCTGTGGAATGCCCTCCCACCAGATTTCAAAGAGAAAAACAACTACCAGACTTTTAGAAGACATTTGAAGGCAGCCCTGTTTAGGGAACCTTTTAATGTTTAACTGACCATTGTATTTTAATATTTTGTTGGAAGCTGCCCAGAGTGGCTGGGGAAACACAGCCAGATGGGTGGGGTATAAATAATAAATTATTATAATAATAATATTATTATTGTGGTTTGTTTCATTCAAACAAACCTTGGTTTATTGGGGGCACAACAAACTATAATCCCTGGTTTAGTTATTGTAGTCTGTTTCATCCATGTGCTAATAAGGGATGAGTAGAACAGACTAGAAAGGTGTGATTGTGACAGACCATTAACTATTGCTCAATATGACAAATGAACAAGGTCTATGTGTCTGTTTTAGGTACCAGTGAAGAACAGCAAACTTCCTGCTCTAGTGATTCCATTTGGTTATAAAGAACTGGCTCGTAACCTTATGTTCTAAAGTCCGTAAAAGGAATAAAGTCAAAACTTGGCCCCAGGAGATTGTATTTCAGAAGCACTTATATGCATTAAGTCTTCCTTGATTTGCTATAGGACAGCAGTGCTTTTGTACGCTAAGTCAGTAGAAGATAAAAAGAAATCATCCATCTTATTCTTTTAAGTTTCCTCTTCAGTAGTTCTAGTAGAAAAGTCAATTCATGCTGCAAATTTCCATATGATTAAGAATTTATATTTAATCTTTCTGCCTGTAGATAAAAACAAATTATTCCCTGAAGTCAAATAAAAAAGTTTTAATCATATTTTTCAACTTCAGGCCTGTAATTATTTTATACTAATCCCTACTAATATAATACAGCTTCGGGAAGTGCTTGAGGATGAATGTTTTAAAATATTGAAAGTAAGTTCCTCTAGGAAAGATGTCTATAGAAAGATGCCTGAGCTCACACACTGATTGGAGCTGAAAATTGATCAGGTAATCCCTCAACAGAGGAATGATGAAATATGGTTGACCAAAACATCCTGATTATTAGTAAAATCCAAGACAGCAAATGTTTATACAGAATTTGTGAGGCCGTCTCTTCCCATATGAATGGAGCCAGACTGTGCAATCATGATCTGAAGCCCTTCTTTGTGTGCCTCCACCACGAGAGGTCCAGAGGCTGGCCACACAAGAACGGGCCTTCTCTGTGATGGGTCTCCGTTTATGGAATGCTCTTCACAGAGTGGTTCACCTGGCACCACCATTATATATCTTTAGGCACCAGGCAAAAACTTCCCTCTATAACCAGGCATTTGGCCTTTTAGAAGTAGGTGAGATGTTTTTAATATATTTCTTTTTCCTCTTGGTTTTTATGAATCTCTGTGGAGTGGAGTCAGCTGTCTGTTTCTTGGATTGTAAGTCACTTTGGGTTGCCCTGGGCAAGATAAAGCGACTAACAAATTTAATAAATAAAATAAAAATAATAATTAATAAATAGGGTGACACGGCTCTACCCAGAACTACTCCAATGGCATCAGCTTCAGATGTTTGCCCAATCTCAATTGTCCTTCAATTTACAGATGAGTGAGAAGGTACAGTGAATATCTGGCCAATTGTTCATGTGTGAGCACAGACAAAGGCACAGTTCGCACATGAAGACATTTGCATAGTGCCCTGTGATCAGGGGGGATGAAGCAGCTTCCTCTGCTGCTGCTGGAGAAGTGGTGCCAGGATCAGTGCTGATTTCCGGTGAGATGTTGCTGAAATCTCACCAGAAACCAGAGGAGGCATGGTGGGGAGGGGCAGCCCTTCCTGTTTCAACTCACATGGAAAAACAAGATGTGCCGTCCCTGCATGCGAAGGCCTTGCCCCGCTCTGCCCCACGTAAACAACATTCTTGCACATCTGAAACAGTGCATAAGCTACTGGTGGCCAGCACTTGAGCAGACACCAAGCCAGGCTCACACCTCCCAACAGAATGCAGGTTGTGAGATATCCCTGTGCGACAATCCCTTCAGCTGCCATCTGTTTTCCTAGTGTTAAAAGAATCCAGCTACAAGCAGAGGATCTCTTCCGAGTGTGAAAGCGTGCTTCATGTGGCAAATTGTGCGACAGCTTGCACATCTGCATTTGGAAATGAACAAGCAGGTGGGGAGGAGGGGTTGCTTCTGCTGATAGCCACTGCCTTTTTGCAAATTTAAAAACCATTATGGGTCGTGAATTCCAATAAACGAACATTTCATATTGAGTCAACCTGTAAACATGTTTAATCAAAAAAATATTATTTATTCAATTTGTATACCGCCCTATCCCCATTGATCTCAGGGTGGTATATTGCATCATTTGACGGTGGAGGCTTTTTTTAATAGCTGCTCAACTGTATTTTTCAACAGAGGAAAGATGAGCCAGAATGGGCAAGAACCAGTGAAGCAAACAGGAATGGGATTAATGGAGGCTGAAGGTAAACTGGATATTGTCAACGTTAGAACGATACATTTTAAAAGTTCATAGAAAACTATCTGTTGGTTTTTATTTTCTATACTGAAGCACCTGAAAAAAACACATTAAGATAGTTGCTGTGAAGAGTGACATTAGGGAGAATTACAAATCTCCGAAAAAGACTGTAGTTCATAAATTCCTGTTGTGAGAATTTTACACCAGCATCACCAAAAACCGAATCAACCTCTTTTTGCACAGGACAAGTTGAGTGCAATATTAGAAAGTGCAATGAAATGTTGACAACTGGCTTCGTTGCAAAAATAATTATGCAGAGATTATAATGCAGAGACAATTATTTAAGGTGTATACTTCCACTTGCAATCACCTCACATATGTATAAAATATATATGCAGCCGTTTGTAAAATAATGGCTACAAACATGAAGCCAAAGTTCTGTGAGGAGATGTGGGTAGTAAAGAACACGGTGTCAGCTTTTGAATTATTATTCCTGTAGGCATATTTGATTTATTTTAACCCTGAAGAGCTAATGATGCTTAAGATCATTGGTTCAGTGAACCAGGGAGACATAGAGGAAAGCAATCAGTGTACGTGGGGAAATAATGTGCATCAAACTTGTTCGTTCTCACCTTCCTAAGCCTGATCTTAGTTGCTCCAAGGGCTAAAATAGGGTTTGGAATGAATGTCAGCAGTTAGTGCAGCAGACTCTCCCGGATTTGTTTATTCTCTCTTAAAGAAAACCTGACACCTTATCAGTCCATATTACCATAAGGAGCAGAAATGAATGCATGCAACTCATGAGGGATGGGCCATTCCTTGTTGCTCACACTACAGTTTGCCTCATGCTGGTGGCAAGGTGTCTAGAAAGCTTTGGGCAGCCTAAGATTCTGTGAAGATTCTCACAGACCCTACCCAGACCTTCACTGATTTCCAGAAGACTGGCATCAATGGTGGTAATGGGGGCTCTCAGTCTTCCTCTTTGCTGGAGGACAACATGGAAATGACAACAAGGAGGGTAGACTGGTACCCTGGAGTGCCTGGCTTCTGATTCAGAGGTAGACCGGTACCCCCAGGTGCTTTGCTGTGGGTCAGATTCACGTGGCACTGATGGTGGTAATTTTTGCAATTTTCCTACTCTTGGGGACATTTTTTGCACCTTTTCGCAGTTTAGATCAATTTATTTATTTTCTGGTGCCACACAGATATTATTTGAAATATAAGTGACATGCCACCTGAGTTATGCTTTCCTTCCACCCTCTTTGGCTTTGCGTGCAACAATCACTGAGATCATTGAATACTCTGAATGTGCAATCACTTCCTACACATAGAATCATAGAATCATAGAATCATAGAGTTGGAAGAGACCACAAGGGCCATCGAGTCCGACCCCCTGCCAAGCAGGAAACACCATCAGAGCACTCCTGACATATGGTTGTCAAGCCTCTGCTTAAAGACCTCCAAAGAAGGAGACTCCACCACACTCCTTGGCAGCAAATTCCACTGTCAAACAGCTCACATGCTGGGATGACCCCAAGACAGAGCTCTATAGGTTTGCTACATCAGTGGCGTAGCGTGGGGGGTGCAGGGGGGGCCGGCCGCACCGGGCGCAACATCTGGGGGTGGCGCGCTCGCACTCGCAGCTCTCTGCCCCTACCTGGCTCACTCACTCTCTCTCACTGCAGTGCTGGCTGTGCGAATCCGATCCGAGCCGCTGGGTCGCCGCCCACTGTGGAGGGGTGGTTGCCAGGCGTGCGGTGCGGAGAGAGAGCGAGGGACTATCTGGGGGAGGGACAGTGCAGCGGCCGCCCAGCGCAGCGCTGAGCGCGGGAGAGAACCACACCAGACCAGACCAGGCAGAAGCAAGAAGAAGCTGGCAGCGGCGGCAGGTTAGGGGTTAGGAGGCGCAAATTACTTGCCTTGCCCCGGGTTAGGGGGTGCAAATTACTTGCCCCGGGTGCTGACAACCCACGCTACGCCGCTGTCCTACATGGTTGTTATTGTTACCTGAGTTGTCCCTATAGCATCCGCCTGGTAAGCCCCAACTATGTTGTAATGTAAATGTTAACACAACGTCCCTTAAACTAAGCTTTAGAGCAGGGGTCAGCAAACTTAAGTCCCGGGGCCCGGATTAGGCCCAATTTCTTCCATGGTTTTCATGCTGGAAATGTTCCATTTTGTTCTTCATCTCTATGCTGATTACTGTTGCTTGATCTTATCCCCGGACATGCAAATAATCCTGCATGCTACTCAAACTCTGACCCCCTTAGACGGCTGGTTGGCAAACCACATCAGCATCTATGCTACCTACTGTCTCTACAATTAACCAGATATATAACAAAAGATCCAATTTCTCTTTAAATGATGGCCTGCTCCGTGAGTATCATTTTAATCAATATAACATAGTTACTGACCAGACGAGCGCTGATCTGAGGGAAATGGATATTGAGCCAAGATTTTGCAGAGAAAACTGGCCACTTTGAATTCCCTAATAGCAGACACTGTAATGGTAATTGAATATCTATTTTTAGTTTTAGTCTTCAAAGTCATGTCCAAAAGTGCTGGAGGCTGGAGATTGCAAAAACCATTGAAAGTCCTTATAAATCAATAAATCATGTTCTTTGCGCAACAGCAGGAAACAACTCTTGTGGAGCCCCATTGTATCTCCAGCAAGGGGCCTGAGTAAAAATAAACCAATACTGTATACCCTGAAGTGCCTGAAGTGGGATTTCTTCTGGATAAACACAGATAGGATCAGGCGGCATGACAAACGGCTTCCTCTTGCCCCATTGCTTTCCCCTGAGGGAAACCGCCCTTCACCACTCAGTCGGAGTAAAACGCCATTCGGGTTTCCCCTGGAAGGCCATTTGTTCTTCTCTATCGCTAAGGAGCGGAACTTCCCTTGCAAAGGAGTGGGGCAAGCAGAAATCGGCTGTGCCCCATGCTTTCTAAGCAAGGCATAGGTGGAAGTGTGAACAAGCCCAAAGCCCTTTAGGACTAAAATGGGTGTGCCAAAGAAGTCCATAGAGTCAATGCAGGCACCCATCCTCTGTGTTGATGCTTCCACACCTGCAATGTGCTAGAATCATAGAATCATAGAGTTGGAAGAGAGCACAAGGGCCATTGAGTCCAACCCCCTGCCAAGCAGGAAACACCATCAGAGCACTCCTGACATATGGTTGTCAAGCCTCTGCTTAAAGACCTCCAAAGAAGGAGACTCCACCACACTCCTTGGCAGCAAATTCCACTGTCAAACAGCTCTTACTGTCAGGAAGTTCTTCCTAATGTTTAGGTGGAATCTTCTTTCTTGTAGTTTGGATCCATTGCTCCGTGTCCGCTTCTCTGGAGCAGCAGAAAACAACCTTTCTCCCTCCTCTATGTGACATCCTTTGATATATTTGAACATGGCTATCATATCACCCCTTAACCTCCTCTTCTCCAGGCTAAACATGCCCAGCTCCCTTAGCCGTTCCTCATAAGGCATCGTTTCCAGGCCTTTGACCATTTTGGTTGCCCTCCTCTGGACACGTTCCAGTTTGTCAGTGTCCTTCTTGAACTGTGGTGCCCAGAACTGGACACAGTACTCCAGGTGAGGTCTGACTAGAGCAGAATACAGTGGCACTATTACTTCCCTTGATCTAGATGCTATACTCCTATTGAGTACAGCCCATTGCTGTTCCGTCATATTTATGTTTCTACTGGAGAGGTTACTAGTTTTTAGATTTGCTCATAGTTTGGGAGAAACGAAGGGACACAGGTGGCGCTGTGGGTTAAACCACAAAGCCTAGGGCTTGCCGATCAGAAGGTCGGCGGTTCGAATCCTCGCAACGGAGTGAGCTCCCGTTGCTCTGTCCCAGCTCCTGCCAACCTAGCAGTTCGAAAGCATGAAGTGCAAGTAGATAAATGGGTACCGCTCTGGTGGGAAGGCAAACGGCATTTCTGTGCGCTGCTCTGGTTCGCCAGAAGCGGCTTAGGCATGCTGGCTACATGACCCGGAAGCTGTACGCCGGCTCCCTCAGCCAGTAAAATGAGATGAGCGCCGCAACCCCAGAGTCATCCGTGACTGGACCTAATGGTCAGGGGTCCATTTACCTTTACCTGGGAGAAATGACATCACAGCTTCTAGATCAGTAACACGGAGGGGGGGGGTTAAGATACCTGGCACAGGGAATGGGGATTGTCCACAAATATATCCGCAAATTTTGTACTTTGCCTAATGGTTAATCTGGCCCTGATATTAACTTTTTACAAAAGTTGTGTAGTGCATTTTCAGGCATACATATTTTGGGGGGAGTAGGTGTCCTGTATCTCACTGCTTCATAGCTGCATAAAAAATACTTCTCATTTATCACAAAGGTATGTTTGGTTCTGCCTTGAGCAGGGTCACATCTTCTGTCTAGGACTCTTGATAGTCTGAGATTAATCAATGCCAAAATATTTAAAGGAGAAAAATATCAGTGAGCTTGATCTCTGTTGCTGAATAATTGCTTTCATGCTGAGAGAGTGGTACTGAGCAATCGAAAGGTGCTTCTCTGCAGTTGGTCCTCTGTGTGCATCAGTCTGTACAAGACGTTTCTTTATTTTCTGGCACGCTGCTGTTTACTGCAAAGACATACTCTAGGAAGCTGAGAAGGAGTCATCCCCAGGATAATGGAGTCTTAATAGCACTAAAGACCCATGATGTAAGAATACTTTAAAACTTCCTTTCTTTAAGTTCCCCTGCCTTTAACCCATTGTTCTTAGCAATCTCCCTAGTCTATGCATTCTCCAGAAACTTCCTACACTGGGAAATTTGGCAACTATTTAGCCAGGTACGGTGCATCCTTCACAATTAGGGATCGTTTCGCTTCAAAACCTTCACCGGCTAAGCACTGGTAACATCATGCTGTTTTTAGGACCAACTGAAGATGTTTGCAAGACAGCTTCTAATTTGCACAGAACTCTTTGAGCCGGTTCATATTTTAAAATCCTCTTTGCAGAGCCGTTCCATGGAACCTAGGCCAGTAGAGGAAGTGTATGTGTGTTCAGCATCATATTTCTTCTTGTGGGCCCTGTATTTTAGAAACATCAGCTGGCAAGGTAAAACTGATGGTGTGTGGTTGCTGGGGGCAGGGGCTAACCAGGTTTCAAGACCAGATGTCCCATATCTTGGTACCTGCCTGCTGCTTTCTGTCTGTAAGTACATAAGAACAGCTGGCTTAGGCCAAAGGCCCATCTGGTCCAGCAATCTGTTCTCACATAAGCCTGTAGGAAGCCTGCAAGTAGGACCCAGTTGCAACAATGCTCTCCCCATTTGCAATTCCCAGTAACGGGCCTTTGGAGGCAATACTACCTCCAACAACGGAGGTAGGTGGAACATCACTCTCATGGCTAGTAGTAGCCATGGATGTCCTTATTCTTCATGAATTGGTCTGATGCTCTTCTAAAGCCATCTAAAGTGGTGGCACCACTAGCTCCTATGGCAGGGAATTCCATAATTTAACTCTGCACTGTGTGAAGAAGGACCCTCATTGCTGCTGCCTTGAGTGCTGGAAGGAAGACCTTCTCTCTGCTGCAAGGCCCATTTTGACCTGGTCTAGGGGCAGAGCCCAGACTCACCCTGAACAGTTAAAAGAGGCTCCTGGGAGGCCACTGGGACATTGCTGGAACAACTGTTGGGTTGGGGCAACTGACTAAAATGTTTTTAAATGGTTCTAATTTTGGTTCCTCTTTTGTTTTTGGCAGGTTGGTGTTGGTTTAATGTTTAGTTGGGGTTGGCAGTTATTTTAATTTGGGTATAACTGTAAACTGTTTGCTGTTGTTGTTGTTATGTGTTTCTGTTGATTTATTGGTTTCTTTGTTGCTTGTATAGGATAGGTTGTTTCTTGATGTTTTATATTTGATATTTTGTTGTGTTTTTATGTATGTTTTAAGCCTTCCAGAGTGGCTGGGGAAACCCAGCCAGATTGATGGGATATAAATTTCAAAAATACTATTATTTCTTATTATTTCTGTTCCTCTCACATCCTTTTATAGAGATTTATTTATTCATACATACATACATACCCTGCCCATCTGGTTGGGCTTCCCCAGCCACTCTGGGCCACTTCCAACGAAAGATTAAAAGTACATTTAAACATCAGTTATTAAAAACTTCCCTAAACAGGGATAAAATGTAGCAAGAATCTAATACACCCCCATACCTCTGCCCCACCGCCCGGGCGAGGAAAGTGACCCTGTAAACAGTAGCTCTGAAACTTTCTACCTGTCAAGAAACAGGGTAATAGGAAACAATATTTCACATGTGAGTAGCCTATTACTTGTGTTTTTTCTCCTGCATCTGAATGTTCTGATTTCCCCTTTGTGACCTCCTCTCAGAACTGTCAGTGGAACATGGTTTTAAGATCAGGGCTCTCCATAAGATGAACAGCATCCCTTGGTTCTTGACAACTGTTTCTACAAATAAAAGGAAGCTTTTGCGTTGCTCTGTCATTGCTTTTCTGATGGTCCATCTTGCCTCTGAGATTTCTCTAGGCCATTCTGTGCATGCTGTTAAGTCCCTTCCGGCTTCTCCTTTTGCACACTTAGCTTCATTCATATCCACTTTGTCTTCTCTTAGCATTTCAGTGAAAGAGGAATCAGACAATGGATTTTATTAACAATTTGATCTTGCCATTTGTGAGTGTACGGTGTGTGGCATGAGCTGCTGATATGAAACCTTTCTTTCTTTCGCCAAACCTTTATTAGGCATTAGAGATGTAGACCATCTTAAAACATTCATGTACAAAAAATTTAAAATATATACAAAGAAACAGCCATATAAGATATATAGTAACAGAAATTTTCATTGCAGTGTCTTCCCGCTAAACCGTGCCATTCACCACGATATGAAACCAACCACTGAAAATGTATTTTTTGTCTTTTTCACCTCCTACACCTAGATCTGAGCTCTTGAGTACTAGCCTTTGATTCACTTACTTGTCAAGTTGAATCACACAATCTTTCAACTGTTTAAGGTCTTCAGATTCGAGTCACACCAAGGCATCCATTTATAGCTGGTGTTCTGAGTGCTATATATGGTTTGCAGTTGTTAGCATGCGGGAAGAAAAGATTCATTTAAATGACGATAAAAGCAGGGCTACGGCTGCAATCCTGAGCTCTAAAGTGACTCAGGATAGACCCTGCCAGTAAGTCACTGTACTCTGTTGAGAACTGCATGAGCAAAGGCTTTCCCCACAGTACTCAGCAGGGAGATCCCATGGTAGTTGTTGCAGTCTTGACGGTCACCTTTGCTCTTGTAGAGAGTCACAATGCTGGAGTCACACATGTCTTGTGGCACAGATCCTTGTTCCCAACTCTGCAAGAGGAGGCTGTGGAGGTGTGTCATGGGAGACGAACTGAAGTTTCCAACACTTCTGTTAGGATTCGGCCTTGTCTTGGGCCTTTACCACATGCCTGAGAGTTGATGACATTCTTCAGCTCATCAAAGAAGGGAGTGGCATCCAGTTCTTCCAAGACAGGATACTCTTACCTGGGAGTAACCTCTATTGAATTCAGTGAGACATGCTTCTCAGTAAACATGGTTAGCATTGCCCTGCAAGAGACCAAGTAACAAATCAAGAACTTCCTGGTTTTGGTCTTATCTCACCTCAGTCATGAACTCACTTACATGGCCCACCATGACACCCTGGTGGTATGAAGGAAACACTTCTTAAATTTCCTCAGGCTTCTCAGTCCTCTGTAACTTTTATGGTTCTTTATGCTTCCTGTTATCTCAGCTCACTGCCCTTATACTGGCCCTTTTATATTGTTGGTGTTTAATGTTTCAGTTTTAAGGATGCACATTGTAATAAACCTCCTAAGCTGACTCACTCAGCTACATTCTACTTAATTATTCCAAGAAACCACCAATGGAGATTTAGAAATTATAGTTCTAGGACCACAATTCTAAAACAATCGCTGCTGTCTACACTAATGTCAAGTTCAGGATGTAAAGAGCCCATGTAGATGTTAGGTAATGCAAGTTGAGCAGCTAATGCGGATAACAATTGTATATAGCAGAGGCAAGGGACCTTTGTCCCAGCAAATGGTACTGGAATACAACTGGTTTTCACCAGCACCTCTATTGTTGAAGGAAATATTCCTGATTTGCAGGGGGTTGGACTAGATGATCTTCTTGGTCCCTTCCAACTCTACAGTTCTATGATTCTACACCCAAAATTGCCAGAAAACCTTTATCTAGTTATCTCCCCCACCCCCTTTGTAGAAGTTGATCAATATGAACAGTGTGTCCCATTCCTTTGCCTCCGGTGTACATAAGCCGGGTTAGGAATTGGAGTCCACCCTGACACTTTACTGAAAGGTAAAGAAAGATGGCTAACCAGCCACACATCTACCCCCCCTTCCTTGCTGCCAGTGGAAACAGCTTCCGACAAGATCCTGCTTTCATGCCATGCTAAGTTGTTGATGTAGCTCCTGTTATATTTAAAGCTTTTCCCCTCGAGCAGCCTTTCTTTCTAGTTGACAGTAAAATGGATGGTCTCTGAAAGGAGCTTTTTGTTGCCACTGTTTTCATTTCCGAACAGTAGCAGGGACTGCAGAACAGTTTTAATCCCCTCTTGGGCTCTCCGGGATATCGGAGCTGAAAATGTACAACCACCAGGAAGCCTAAAGCGGCAGAAAGAGTAAAGGGAGAAGACTCCAAAAGCATTGTCTCCGTGAGCCATAAGCAAAGAACACGGACCATCAAGCTGTCACGTTAGAAGAGAAGAGAAGCAAAACAGGAATGTTTGGTGGCCTGTATGAATGGCATTAGATGTCTTAGGATAAGAAGTCGAGTGGAAATCCATGCAGTGACCTGCATGCAAAAATGGATGTAGAGAGTCTGTGCAAGTGCAGCTCTTGTACAGGTTTTTCTCGTTGTTCAGTTTATTTGGGCTTGATAACCATTGGGGGTAACTTCCTCTCTGCAGACCATAATAATTAGCGCAGAAGGTGTAAGAATGAACTGTTTCTCACTATGCAATGTACCAGCTCCTACTTCTTGCATTTCCTTGGCCCTTTTGCTCCACGGATGGTGCAAAATGCCCTCCCTCCCAAAAGTATCTCTCTCTCTCTCTCTCTCTCTCTATATATATATATATATATATATATTATTCAGTTTGATTTTAAATTTCTTTGTAAGCTGCCTCGAGCCATGGAAAATGCAGGATGAGCATGTTTCAAGTAAACAAACCTCTTTCTAGTCCATTTCATGTATCTGGTGTGAGGAGAGCCGTAGCCCATGAAAGCTTATGCCGCCATCAATTTGCTCGTCTTTGAAATGCCGCACGATTCTTTGCTGGTTTGGCTGCAACAGACCGAAATAGCTGCCCTTCTGGAATTTGGTCTGCCATTCTACATTATACTATGACAATATTCTCACTTTCCCCAGTAATACTGTTGCCTGTTCCCGCTCTCAAACAATGACACATCATCCCTGCGAGGTGCAGAGTCGCTCAGGCTGGTATTGAATGGCTGTGGCATTTCTCCAGAGTAGTGAGCCACAACACGGCTTCTTTCCCACTGCAAACTAGGGTGGGAAGTTGATTTGCATCCAGGAGGAGAAGCGAGCAATGCTAATATTAACCACACATTCATGGAATAGTTCCCAGGTTCAGTCTCAGTTGTTGTCAGTCTTGAGAATGATCAGGTAACAGGACTTCTCTCTCTGACAGGAGACCATCGATCAGACATGGGGAACTTGTGGCTGTCCATATGTTGTTGGATTCCAGCTCCATCACCCGTGGCCCCTGGGCCATGTGCCGGGTGGGGCTGATAGGAATTGCAGGCCCATATTTCCAGGAGGACCAGACTGAGGCCACTCAAAGCCAGTCAGAGCTAGATGAAGCCATGGTCTCATATGGCAGCTCCTTGTAAACAAGAGACAAACACACTGATACTTGAGAGGGGCAGTGTTTATTATTGCTATGGATTTGGGGGAGAACCCCCCACTGCCACCCAATAAATTAATAAATGCTAGGTTTTTTATTGTTTGGGATGTGAGCTAGCCTATGCAAAATGACCTGGTCAAATCAGGGCTCTTAAGAAACAATACAGAGTCATTGAGGGCCATTGGCAAGGCAAGAGAACTGTCCTTCCCCCTTGCCCTGAGGTGTGAATAGAGACTGGGGATTTGGAAGGTTGCCAGGGTAACTGGGTGTGAGGTGACAGGGGAATAGAGTCTTGAGCAAGGCTTGCCGGGAAGAGGAAGGAAGAAGAAAGACTGGGATCCATATTGGGCAGGCTGGCTGATGGCTGAGAGATGCCTTGGACTCCAGGGCTACGCTGCTATGGGAGACAAGCCCCTCTTGATATGACCTTGCTGCAAGGTCTGGACTCCCTCCATGCACAGTGAAGGTATAAAAACACAGGGAGTAAGTTGTGGCAGATAGCAATAACGTATCTTGGACTAAACATTTTAAACTTATTTTAGCCTGGCGAAAAAACAATAATGTCATTTAATTGCATAGAAAGGATTAAAATATCAGTTTCTCTGCAGGCCTGTGATTTATTTAAAAATAGAGGCCTAACTTTATTCTGTGTTCACGCACACATGCACACAGATACATTCAGAAAATTCACATGTTGTTCAAGGTGTAAATGACGGGTCTAAATTTGAAGCTGCTATGCAGTTCTCTAGGCAGATGTGATTATGAAGTGTGACATTGTGCATCTGGGTAGACAGATTCAGTGTATTTTGAAATCTGTGCTTGCTCTCCTGCTTTCCCTCTACCTGAAAAGGGGTTTGCGCGCTTCATAGAGGGGACGATGCCTTTCATGCACTGGGGAGCGTTCTGAGCCACAACACTAGCAGATCCTTGTTAATGATGGAATTACCAACACTCTGGTTTTAAGCTGGTGTGCCGAGGGTGTTTTTACCTCCAGACCAGTTGCCTGGCAAGTAAGGCCAGTGTTTTCTTCCCAGCCATTCCCTCCTGTCCCCACCACATTAATTAATTTTATTAATTATTAAAGTATTTCAATATAGTTAAAAACAAACAAAAATATTTTTGGTATGTGCATGCATTGTAGTCATAGATGTACTAAATAGGGCTGGGGGAGCCCAGAAGATGACATAGGGATGCATGGATAAAATTTCCCGCCATAGGATTTGACTGTAAGAAAATGTCCTCCAGCTGTTTCTTTTTGGCTTTTTACACGTTTAAATCAATAACTAAGCACAATAAAACCCATGAAATGCAAGTATCGTAGCTCTTTCAAGGCAAATATTCAGGACAGATATAAAATAGTGGTGCTATTTTGTGCTGGATATAGAAAAAGAAGCATGGGTTTTAAAAAGAATTATGAGTTTGGGCAAAAAGTTAGCAGCTTCATAGTGATTTTTACTGACCAGATTATGGGAATTTAGGAGGGACCTGAAGTCAGTATGTATACAGAGTGTAATTTCAAAATGCACATCTGCCAGTGAGCCATAGAGAACATTTAAGACTTGTCCTCACTTAACTTTCCTCCGCTCTTTCCAGGCACAGTCCGTGATTTAAAGTTTCATAATCAAGCACCCTTTTTTTGTTGCTCTGGAGCTTGAGAATTGAGATTTGCTCTGATTCTACTATCCAGAGCAGGTTTTTTGCCATGAAAGCTCAGAGCAAAAATAAGGTACTGCTTGGACACAGAGCGTTAAAAGTGCAGACATCTGCCTGGAAAGAGCAGGGCGAAAGGTACTTGTGGATAAGACCTTAGGCATTACTTCTCATACCTTTTCTCTATCAAATTGAAATATTTCCAGTTTTTAAAGATCCAGCACATTTTAGCAAAGTTGTGCGGCACCAGGTATCTATGTATTGCTCAATTCACACAGCCATTTTGAGTGAAACTATTAGATCACATCCACAGCATATGTTCAGCACAGAGAGAAAACTGGGATACTTCTTAGAACTTAATGAAGGACAAATTATTACATAGGAAGTTGCCTTAAACGGAGTCAAGCTATCAGTGCAGGGGTTCAAGTGGTGGTTTTACCCAGCCCTACTTTGAGATGTTGAGGAGTGAAACTGGCGCCGTATACATGGCTCTCTCGCTGAGCTACATTCCCTAAATAAATAAAGTGCTGGGTTCTGCTCAGTTTTGTTTTGTAAGGTTGTATTTAAACACACACACACACAAAATACTTTAACTTCAAAATGGGCTTAACGGTGGACTATATTAAAATTCAAAATAGGGGTTTTTATCAGGGGAGGAGAAGCCAAAATACAGGAAGAACATTGAGCAGGCTAATTTTTGTGGTTTCTGACTACAGTATTGTTTTGTGGCGTCGGCTTCCTCCCCCCTGTGGGCAAATTGAAAATTGCATTTAGGTTTTCCAATCATTCCTAGACGAATCTGCGGAGACGGTAATCCCGGGGGGGGGGGGCGAGGAGAGGAAAAACCTGCAATATGTTTTTGGGTGGATTTCTGCGTATTTGGGATTGTGAATACTTTTGAACAGCTCCACGCCACATTACATTACCTTTCCAGAGGCCAAGTTGATACAAGACTAATTAAGTACCTGCCAATTCAACTAAAAGTCTACTCTTGTTGACATCAACATACCTAAATGTTCATCCAGATTGACTTTATGAGAAGAATTATAGTTTATGCCAGGACACCAAAACAGCTGTACTCTTAGAAGATACTGAGTACAGTAATCTGCACTCACAATGAGAAAATAAATAATAATATGCTCCAATTCAAGGAGGAGGGAAATTTTGTTCTGTCTGCTTTTTCAGTTGAACCAACCTAATTTTTATTCCCAGACAAATGCATAGATTTAGAACATAGTTATCCTTCAAATTTCACATATCTAAATGCAAAATCTATACCCTGGTTAGAAATGTGTACACTGAGATGAAATACCTATTTATCTCAGGTTCACCTGGCATCTTCATTATATATCTTTAGGTGCCAGGTGAAAATGTTCCTCTTCAACCAGGCCTTTAGCTGAGTCATATTCTACAGCCCTTAAAATGTGTCTGTGGGAAAGGGGGGGTATTGTTTTGCTGGTTTTGTTTTAATTGTTTGCCTGTGTTTTTATCTTGCATTTTATTCTGTGAACTGCCCTGAGATCTCGTGATGAAGGGCTGTATATAAATTTATATAAATTTAATACGATTAAGAAAATGAAAATAAATAAAATAAATGCCAGCGCTTTGAATTAGGCTTGGAAACAGACTGAAAGCCAGAGGCGCCATATTCTCTAGAGTTTTGGGAGGGGCAACATGACGGGGACCGACATTCTCTTTTTTATTATTTATTTTTTATTCAAAATTATAACAAGTCATATTATCCAAAAACATATCATCCTTGTTTTTTCCCCCATTTTTCCTCCCTCCCCCCTCCCACACAGAACCCACCCACCCCCGACTTCCCTCAGTTCCAGTCTTTGGTTTCTCTAAGAATGCTGTTTTCTGCATGTTACAAAGTTGTATAGATCCTCAAACTATTTAGCTGATTATTATCAATAAAAAGTTTGTGAATGTTTATTCAAAACCTGCCAAGGAGTCCAGTTCGCTTTGGTGCATCTTCAGATACTTTGTAAAGGGTTCCCATTCATCCTTAAAGTCACAGTTATCCTTGTCCCGTAGCTTATATGTCAGTTTTGCCAGTTCTGCATAGACCATCAATTTTTCTTGCTTCGGGACCGACATTCTCAAAAAAATTAATTTGGGGTCCGAAACTGCCTCGGTCCCTAGGAGTTGCCGCCTATGCTGAAAGCCAATGCCCTTTCCCCATTATCAGCCTGGAAGTTATAGTCTGTAGCAGCGGGTGGCAAGGTTTAACTTGCCTGGGCCGGTTCAGCGGAGATCCCTCTGTGGGCCAGATTGCGCACCTCCGTGGGCCGGATTGTGCACATGTGTGAGCGCAAGCAGCCACGATTTCCAGCGTCTGTGTTGACACGATTTCAGTGTCTGTGTCTGCACAGACGCGATTTTGGGCTTGTGCAGACGCAATTTCCAGCACCGCGGAAGCGAGGCCCCGCGCTGCACCGGTTTAGGGCAATGCACAGGGACTCACGAGCAGACGACTCAGTTCGGGGACGACTCATGGGCCAGTTAAAAAACCCCCGTGAGCCGCTTGTGGCCCATGGGCCTTAGGTTACCTACCCCTGGTCTGAAGTAATTGCAGTTTCTGAAACTCTCCAGAAGCAGCCTCACATGCTGTGTGTTGCAACAACTTGTTGGGATACTGCCAGGGAGACGGAGCCATCAGGCAGGCCCCAATTGTCATCTCCGGACGATCACCGGTCTCCCGTGGAAAGAGCATCAGTCAATTAGCAACACGAGCCTCAGAGACATTCCAAGACTCATGCACGCCCTTTCAGCAGAGTTTCCAAAACGGAAGATTCAGACAGGAGAGCATATTTACAGCTTTATTCAACGTAGATCAGAACAAAGGAAAAACATGACTGCTTGCCTCCATGTCCAGGAAAACAGCCGGAACAAAAGCTATATACAAAACGGAAGTTCCCAGAGAGACCAGTGCTGGGAGTAAACAGGCATGTGACACACAACAATAATGCCTGACCATTTAAGGTGGAACGGAACTATATCATAACAGTTACCACATCATGGCACTGCCCAGGAAAGGACCACAGCTGCCACAGAAATCTAAGACGAAGGAAGGATTTGTCCCAGAGGCACCTTGGGGCTCAAGTATTAAATCCCCGCAATACAAACCTAATTGTGTAGGTTCAATGGATAAGAGCATGGATAGGCAAACTAAGGCCCAGGGGCCGGATCTGGCCCAATCGCCTTCTCAATCTGGCCCACGGACAGTCCGGGAATCAGTGTGTTTTTACATGAGTAGCATGTGTCCTTTTATTTAAAATGCATCTCTGGGTTATTTGTGGGGCATAGGAATTCGTTCATTTCCCCCCAAAAAATATAGTCTGGGCCACCACAAGATCTGAGGGACGGTGGACCAGCCCCCTGCTGAAAAAGTTTGCTGACCCCTGGATAAGAGTGTCTGACCTGGGAGACCAGGCGTCAAATCCCCACATGGTCATGGATTTCACTGGGTGAACTTGAGCCGGCCGTGGTCTCTCATCCTAACCTTCCTTGCATGATTGCTGTGGGGATTAAAGGAGGAGGAGTACACCACCTTGAGCTCTTTGGAGAAAAGAGTGGCCTTTAAATGCAATAAATAAATAAAATTAGCTGCATTGCACAGAGAAACCACCCACAGCATCTCTGTTTTGTCAAGATTGTACTCCAATTTATTGGCCTCATCCAATCCACTAGAGCGCCAATATACCTGTTTAACATCCCCATGGCCTCACTTGCCTCAGGGGTAAATGAGAAGCAGAGCTTGGTGTGACCAATGGTGGCACGTGACTTCAAATCCCTAGGTGGCCTAACTGCCATGGGAGACCAGATAGCACCCTACAGAACTTTGTGGCGCAGGTGTTACAGGGATGAGCCATAGTGCCATAACAGAACTTTATAGAAGAAGCGCTTCAGGCAGGAACAGAATCCCGGAAATAGTATGCCTTCAGAAGGATGCCATGGTTGATGTTCTACAGAACTGGAAGCAAAGTAAGATTGGTTCCTGGAAGAGAAATGAAATTAGATTACCTACCATTTACACTCAGTGTGATAAATGTGGTTTGTGAGTCACCTGATTGCAGATAATGTAGTTGGCAGAACTCCCACATAGTCTCTACAGTGCATCAAAAGCTGCTCAACTGAGCCAGTGCTTTCTGCCGAAGTTTCCCATTGCTGAAATTCCAATGGCAGGCTTAATTCATGAGGGAATTAAAATGCCAAACTGAATTATGTTCACGAAGGGTCAAAGGTGCCGCTAGTGCCCAAAATGACATTTAGGGTCATTTCACAGGAAGACGTGTACATCTAGGTAGGCCCAGGATACCTGAAGGGGCTTGTGGTCCTCCATGGGTCAGAAGCATGACTCGAGTTAATGAGGTGTCAACATTCAGTTTCATGGGCCTGATTCTGCAGAACTCCATCCCATTAGAAATCAGGCAAGCAGCCTTTTCCCTATTTTGTTTTTAATATGCCAACACAGCAATACACTACCGTTTCTTACAAATGCAACTCTTTAAAAATAATACAAGGTTAAATGCACTTCGGCAAGTTACCAAGCATGAAGAAATGAAATGTACCTTTCAGCCAACTGGGGAGTTGCTGTCAATTCCTGAGTCTGCCCTAAAATAATGATGGCCACATCTTTTGCTCATTTATACCAAGACTATAAAGACCCTGTGCTAGCTTGTAGCTTATATTACTTGTATTATTGTTTGGAAAGTTCCTTTTAACTTGGAAGTATTAGCTTTGTGGAATACTTACGTGCACCTTTTGCTATAGCTGATCTGACCCCTCCCCCTTTTACAGGTAAAACCCAGGTGATGGGCGAAATCAAGATTGCTTTAAAGAAGGAAATGAAGACTGATGGGGAACAGCTGATAGTTGAGATCCTTCAGTGCAGAAATATCACCTACAAGTTTAAATCTCCAGATCACTTACCAGGTATCAATTGTAAACTAGCATTTTAATACATAAAATATGTTTTAAAATGAGTGGTAAACCCATAAGGATGGTAAGATTTCAATTTTGTTTTTAGTTATCGACACACATGTATCATATCCATTGCTTATAGCATTCATTCATTATTGTTTTCTCTACAGATGGTTGGGGGGGTGTTCCTAAAAATAAATAAGTGTAGTAGTAAGGGGGGGTGTCTTTCTGCCTAACCAGGCGTCTTCAGGAGAGAGTGATTTACAGCGACAAAGATACAGGTGCAGACAGGTACATAATGTTCTTCCTCCATTCAGCCCCCATGTCTCCCAAACTCCCCTCCTATTCCTTTTCCCCTTGAAGGGTCCCAGAGACTCATGTTAATGCCACATACATGGATCTGGACCATTGCAGGTGTGGCGGTGGTGAGGAGAGCTGCTCCTGGGGAAAGCAGGTCTGGCAGGTCTCTTCCCTCAGCACAAATTGCTCCCTCCCAAGAGTGCTTTGCAGGAGCTTTATTTACCTAGGTACCGTATTTTTCCCTCCATAAGACGCACCAGACCATAAGGCGCACCTAGTTTTGGGAGGAGGAAAACAAGAAAAAAAATATTCTAAATCCCAGAAGCCAGATCAGCAAGAGGGATCTGGCTTCTGGGATAGCCGTGCCAAGCCTCTTCAGGGCAGCAGGATGAAGGCTTCCCCTGCCCGAAGAGGCTGCACGCAGCTAAGGCAGAAGTCAGGAGAGGCGCTTCGCTGAAGGAGCACTGCGCAGCACCCCTTTAGCGAAGCGGGAGGAGGAACAGAAGAAGCCCCTTCTGTTCCTCCTCCGGCTTCGCAGGACAGGCGCATTGCTGAAGGGGCGCTGCGCAGTTCTCCCACTCTGCGCAGCGCCATTCACTCCATAAGACGCACTCACATTTCCCCTTACTTTTTAGGAGGAAAAAAGTGTGTCTTATGGAGCGAAAAATACGGTATTTGTGCTCGACACAATGCAAACTGGTAAATAACTCACCAGCCTCCTCCCTAATGGCTACTGAGAAGCATCATACATATAAAACATGGCATGTTGCTTTGTCGAAAGGCTCTGAAACACCTCAACCAATTGCACACGGCTTCTATGTAAGTTTGATTCCCATAGGAATCTGCCTAATATCAAGTCAGGCCATTGGTACATCTGGCTCAGTATTGTCTGCACCAGGGATGGGAATCCTATGGCTCTCCAGATGTTTGGACTCCCATCAGTCCCAGCCAACATGGGTGATCCAAAAACATCTGGAGAGCTGCCGTTCCCCATCCCAGGTCTGAGCTGACTGGCAGCCTGGTTCTCCAGGATTTAAGAGAGGCATGTTTCTCAGCCCAATCTGGTCATGCTGGTGACTGAACCTGAGATCGTTTGCATGCAAAGCATGTTACCTGACACTGAGTTTCAGCTTTTTCTGAAAGGGATGAGGGAAGTGTTACCTACAGCAGACAAGAGGCCCTTTTACCATGTATTTAGCCATCTAGCTTTTTACATTTTTGGATCTGCTTAGCAGTTGGACTGTAATGATCACGGGACTCAGAATTCAAAATTTAAAATCTCACTCCTCTCCAAACTTAAAGCGCTTCAAGTCAAGAGTGGCAAACCTCTTTATGACAGGAAAGCTATTCCTTTCTAAGGTAGCATTATCCAAAAAGAACTGAAATAGCATAGAATAATTATATGTCAATACCTGTTTCTGGTTGAAGTACCTCTGGTTTGTTTCATTTTCCAAAAAAATAATGTGCAGTTTTTTTCATCTCAGCTTCATCTCTTATATGAAAGATTTCTAAACTATTTCATTCAGTAAATTTATGTACTCATTGGGAAAGAATTTGCTTTCAGGGCTCTGAATTTCAGAGCACTTCATCAGCTCTCCTGGAATTACCTCATTTTGATATCGAGGGAAACAGCAGAGAGAAGTTTCCCTCATCTTAAATAACCATTAACTAATTTAATGCTAAATGAGTTAGCAGCAAAGACACCTAATGAGGTTCTGTATGACAGGTTGAACTGCTTATTTGAACAGATCTGTATGTGAAGCTGTACGTTGTCAACCTTGCAACTCAAAAGAGAGTAATTAAGAAGAAAACAAGAGTATGCAGGCATGACCGAGAACCTTCATTCAATGAAACATTTCGATTCAGTTTGAGTCCCACTGGGCATTCTCTCCAGGTAAGCCTCCATCTTAATGCAAACTGAATGTTATGCTTTCTGCATTGGGCATTTGAGACTCCCTTTCTCTCACTTACTTATTTACTTAACCTTAATTATTCGCCATTTCCCGAAAAGCAAATTAAATGTTACAGTGTGAGAGTTACATGAACACAATGTTGTTGTGTTTGTTCTTCAAGCCTGGAACTTCCTCAACTTAGAACATTCTTGGCTGCTCTAAGTATCAAAAGATAGTATGGATTGTAAGAAAGAAGTAAACAGAATTTGCAGAGAGAACAAATAAATTTGTATGATCTTCACAACTGAAGCCTTTGGCAGGATGTTCTTCATAAAATGGAACAAGGAAGCATAAATGTTCAATGAGTGGCCACCTAATGGAGGCCTCTTTCTTGGGTGTTGGCAGTTCAGGTTCACACTCAGCCATGACAGTCTCTGGGTGGTTTGCCTAGCCTAGGCTAGCCTAGCCTAATGTGCAGCCTAACCTCATGGACAGAGTTCTTGTGAGGAGGGGGGAAATCTCAAACTCAGCTCTTCAGGACAGAGAGATAAATGTAACATAACAAATACCACTCCCCCTAACTTATTTTAGCTAGAGGTGGTCACACATACAATATGATCATAATACAGTGGTACCTCTGGTTACATATGCTTCAGGTTACAGACTCTGCTAACCCAGAAAAAGTACCTCGGGTTAAGAACTTTGCTTCAGGATGAGAACAGAAATCAGGCTCTGGCAGCGCGGCGGCGGGAGGCCCCATTAGCTAAAGTGGTGCTTCAGGTTAAGAACAGTTTCAGGTTAAGAACAGACCTCCGGAACGAATTAAGTACTTAACCCAAGGTACCACTGTAGACATTATAACAGACACGTATAACAATAAATTATATGTATATGGACAACCTATACATGGAAATGTGTCAGGAGATCTCAGGGACACAAACAACTTGTCCAAAGCCATTCATCGTCCCTTGGAATGTGCAGCCACAATAAGTGTTGGGTACATTTTGTGACACAACCTTGGTTCCCATAACAGACAGCATGCCACACCTTCTGCAGCAATGATCAGGGCCATGTTCTAGGGCTTTAGATCTTTTTACCAGAACGGTGAATATCTGTCCAACCCTCTGCTCTCTTCCCAGATACTCCTTGTTTCCAATGGAGGAAAGTTTATGAAGAAGACCTTGATTGGTGAGGCATATATCTGGCTTGACAAAGTGGACCTCAGGAAAAGAATAGTAAACTGGCACAAACTTTTGGTCAGCTCAACGCAAACACATTGAGGAAAGATTTCTTCTTGGGCCATCAAGCCTTGGCAAAGTCTGCTTGTAGGACTCCAAGACTCTACTTTGATATTGTGTTTAGCTAGGCTTTCAGAATATGAAGTAGGAGGAGAAAGTTCTGGGCTATTTAGCACACTTTCATGAGGGCTAGTCAACTTGTTTTGCTGTGTTTTTTAAAAACAAATCAGCAGAGCTTAATAAACCAACCACCCTAAGCCCAGAAATTAAAATGAGTCTGCTTGAAAAAGGAGACTTGTGTGAGGGTTCTGTGATGTTAGAATCTGAAGAGGAATAATAACACCATGCAGTTGAAGGCAGGTGTTAATGCAGAGAATTTGGCTGCAGCTGGAGGCAGAATCTTTCTGCGAGAGCAATCTGGCTCACGGTGCAATTTCCTAAGAGATCATGATATGCAAAAGTACCTGAAGCAACTGCCTTTCCAGTTCTCCCTTATCTGAAGACTTATCTGAAGATCCATGGTCTTAATGTAAGAATATATTTGCTGTGGGGAGATGATGCCCCAGGAGGCAAATGGTGGGGTAATTAGTTTTTAATTTAAATGGTGGCAATGTTTCTCTTTCATGTTATTTTTTTTCTCTTTGCTGATTATATGCTTTGGCGTTTAAATTGAGAATAGTAATCTCTGTCTTTTCCCATGTTAGTCTTGGAGAATTACCATCTCGGACTGTAAAGTACAGAAAGCACAAGAATAGTTGTCATTTTGGAAAGAGTAAAGGGGGCAGTTGGAGCCATATCAAGAAAAGAGAAATTGCTTTTATGGTATAGAAGAGATTGCGATTCAGCCTACTGTGAACGACTGTTTTCCATAGTTTTGCTAAAATGGCGTTGGTTCTAAGGGCTTTTGAGCACTGAGGTGAATATTGTGGCTTCACTATCTGTTTGTCTTGCCTTTGTGAACTTCAAGGAGTCACTGTTTCCAACTGTATGAAATAGTCCACATGTTAGAAGAAGTGATGCTGTTTATGTGACCGTGTGCTACAGGCTCCTTCTCATCTGCATGAAGTTGCAAACATTCTGCTCACAAAGCGTTGAAGGAGATCATTGAAAGACAGACTTTGGATTGTAAGGTCAAAGACTGCGTATAAAATGAATATCCATTCCTAACTTGGCAGCATTCATTGCCGTGAGCTACAAGCTTTCTTAAAGGCATGGAACATGAAACTGCATTGGTGACTTCCAGAAACAAAAAATGGAAACACCATTAGTCCCTTATTGTGTTGATTTGCTTTATATTACAGTATTTTAATTGAAAATGGGCATTTAATTGCACTATGCCAAACTGTTCCTTGAAGCTGAAATGGTTAAACGGTAGTAGCAGCAAGTATGTGCAGAAGAATCATAGAATTGTGGAGTTGGAAGGAACCGCAAAGGTCACGTAGCCCAACCCCCTGCAAGGCAGGAAACTTCTGCCCAGTCTTGGGCTCGAACCCACAGCCCTGAGATTAAGAGTCTCGTGCTCTACTGACTGAGCTATCCCAGAAATATCCGCACATTTTGTCCCGACTGTAAAATAGGAAATGATTGGGAGGAAGGAAAGCATACTCAGATTTCATCTGCCTGTCTCCTAGAAATATCAATTTCAGTCCAATTCTTTGGCAGTAACGCTGCCCTCCTGCCCAAACTGCTGTGTCATGTGGAAATTGCCTGCTACCAAATACTACATCTCCCTTATCCTTATTTTAAAAATCTCATGGCATCTGGGTTTGTATTTTCTGAAACAGCGAATTTCAGTTGCTAAGCAAAGTCTTTCATTTTTTTTAAAAAAGTGATATATGCAATTTTGCGCAAATGGCTGGCAATTTTGTTCTTGCTAAAATTTATGACAAAGGTGGTGAATCGTATAGCGGTTGCCATGGAGATTTCCAGCAGCAGCAAGCGCCAAGTGGGAGGCTTGCTAGTAAACCTCTAATTATCACTATTAATTGATAAAGCAAGACTGCTGTTGCCACATGCTGTTCTGTGGATTGGATGACAAATTGAGAAGCAAGGGAACAGCTTTGTGTTAACAGCAGATATTTATTTGCAATTATTTATTCACAGCGTTGCTGTTGTGGCTTCAGCTGCCCCTTGTTCAGCAACTTCTGCCACCAGGCATCAGGTCCCAGGGCAATGGTGCTCCAAGCCTTGGGAGCCAAGCTCTCCACAAGTCAAATGCACCAGCGAATGTTTGCGGGAATTTGTGCTTGTGAGGAAAGGCAGGTTCTGCTAGCAACAGCATGTTGAAGGTCATTAGGGTTACAATCTCTCTTCATTGTATCCTGCATCTCACAAAGAGCTAGAGAAGGGGTTTGACGTTCCCCGAGCCACGAATGCATCAGTGCTGAGACTGAAGACGTCTGCAGAGTGTGCCAAGTTCCTTTTGACCAAATGTCTGGGTTGTACTGGAATCATTCTATGCAACAATGAATCACGTTTAAATGCAGTTTTCTTTTTATGAATGAAGGCAACAAAAACCCTTCTTGTGGCAATTATTTTTTTAAAGGAAAAAAAATTCACAGGGACTTTGGGTATTTGTGAAAATGTATGAATACTTCATCTGTTTTCCTTCTTTGTTGTTTTATTTTGCGGGGGGGGGGGGATCTTTTTCTTTGTTTCTTTGTTTGTTCTGTCAGACAGAAGCACTTAAATGTGGCCAGGCCTCTTAACTTGGAATAGATGAATGTTCTCCAATTGTGGGTTTCTTTAAAGGTATGGATTGTTCATGGCACAATGCGCTTTATTTACTATAGAGCTATAGATATTTACTATATAGATCTAGATATTGCCCACAAGTCTGCCAAGCTAGAGATATAAGTTGTGTTGTACAAAAAGCCTTGTACAGAATGAAAAAACAAGCTTGAAGTATGAGCTAAAGCACAGGATGTGTGTGTATTTAACAAATGATAGGTTGTTCCTCGAAAGGGATCATTTCTTTCCTTCGTTCTTGTGACTGATGGCCAGATCTTGCTTTATTTCCCTGGATCCAAACAACATTGATCTGTTTTGTTGTTATGATCATCCTTTAAAGGGATAGTATCCAGGAGCAATATAAATGCTGTGGCTTTTTATCAGTGTCCACTCACCGCCCCACCACTTAAACTTGTACCACTGTTTTCAATACACAGAAGAAGAATTAGGGTACCTCATTGTGTGCACACGGGAGACATTTCCAGGAACCTCGTTGTAAACTGAGTTCCTTTTCTATATGCCTAATAGTTGATTGTTTGGGGCAGCCGGGTGGGGAGGGTTAGTACAGTAGCTGGTAACCAGCTGATATTGCTTCTTTCTGTCAGGACGAAGAAGTAAAATGTAAACACTTCTTATATATTGCTCAATATAGAATTATTTAATTAGCGTTTAGTTTCCTGGAGATTTCATACAGATGTTAATAGTATATTTTTTATCTTTTTATTTAAATCATACCTGATACTATACCAAGTGCTTTATTTCCCTTGCTAAGAGCCCACAGTCCCCCTTGAGTGTCTATATATGTACATACATATATCTATATGTGATGGGGAAATAATCAAATATTCTCAGTGGTGAAGAAACTGAAGGATCTACTGGCATCACATGAAGGAGGCTCTTCACGCATCCGAGTCAATTTCCAATGCAGGACCAATCTCTTCAGTTAGAAGATGCTGTTAGACTAAAATAATAAAATCTGGATACTCTCTCTTTAAATCATAAGTTGCATTTTGATGTTTTCTCTGATTAATTCTTTGACAAAATAATGAACACACTAATGGGTTTTAAAATATGTGCTATATATAATATATATATATATATATATATAATATAATATATATATCATGAACTTGGACTAGGAGATCTGAAGAAAGCTGTTTTCTTAATTTGTAAATATGCATTTTTGTATTGAGCAGCAAACCAGGTTTGGATTCCAAATTCCCCCTGGCGTCCCAAGCATGTCTCCCTCCCTCCACGTGAACTGTGTCTTGTATAGATGTCAAATGGCTGGTGCAGGTGCTCAGCAGTCGCTGACAAGCATGGGTGCCATCATCCTACCAGACAACATGTACAGCATCCCTGGCATTGGAGAGGGTGCGATGGGGGTGACTGGAGGGAACAACTACCCCGGGCATAAAATTTAAAATGCAACAGCCACCATCAGTAGTCTTTGGGGAGATGTAATATATTTCCACGGTGAATGTTGCATGTGTCAATGGTGGTTTATTAATATTTCTTTTTCACTTGAATGAATAATTAATTAATCTTTGTTTTTTGCCTTCTAATCCTCCAAGAAAAGAAAGATACAAAATTTGTTCCAAAAGTTGTACAAAACAAAGCAAACAAAACGAACTTAACGAACTGTATAAAGAGGGGAAGAAATGCTTGTAAATCGGTCTCGATTTTCACTCTATGTATAAAATCCATGTCATGGTTTTGTGATTGTATACAGGACGTATCTTGAGAACTTATGCAAATTGTGTTGTATAAAGGCTGTTTAATCCAGTCTGGCTAATAAATATTTAAAATCTCTAGTTTGGGGTCCTTTCCCACTACTAAATACTCCTGCTGCAGCTGGCAAATACGTCAGTAACTCTAGCACAAGAAATGGAGAAGCATCTGTGAAATGGGACAATTGGTTTACAGTTGAAATAATTTCAGTTTGAGGTGCCTGCCTGCATGGAATGGGCGGGAACCTTAATGATGGCAGAAGTATAAAACGGGGGGCGGGGGATAAGGAGAAACACCCCCCTCCAAAAAAAAAGCAGTGTAATGAAGACTAAATATTCTCTGCAGTTATGGAATGTCAGCTGATTCTTGTGTAGTGGAATAGAATATCTTGGAAGAATCAGAGAATTGTAGAGTTGGAAGGGACATTGAGGCAATGCAAGAATCTCAATGATAGCATTCCCTGACATAGTCCACAATCGTCCGAGGGAGTCCGCTACACTGTCAGAAAGTTCTTCCTGATGTTTAGATGGAATCTCCTTCTTGTAACTTGAAGCCTTTGCCTCCTGGTCCACATGAAAGCCCTTGAGATATTTGAAGATGGCTATCTTATCTCCTCTCAGTCTCTTCTTTTCCGGGTTAAACCCACTCGGCTCCTTCAACCATTCCACATAAGGCTAAGTAGTCTGCTCTTTGCAATATGGTGCCCTTCTACAACCCTGTGCACCATGATGTTGCGCCATGATACACCCTTTTCTGATGAGCTAAACATAACCCCTGTGATAATAGCCAATCGACTTGGAACCATCGCAGGAAGAAGCTGCGGAGCAAACTGAAGCATCAGCGGAAATACCTGTTTATTGCAGGTATTAGAGTTCATTGGATCAAAGTCGGGGCTTGTATGCATTTGAGACTTACAAACAAGTAAACTTGATTTATGTAATGACCAGTTCAGAATTTCAGCAGCGATGCTCATTGTGACTGAGGGTGTCCTAAAGCATGTGTCATGCTTCCTTCATGTAGGCTCTGATTAGACACCCTTGTCTAAGGCCAATTCCTGTAGCACTGAGGGGTTAGGCAACCAGAGAACATAAATGGGGAACTCCAGCAGCAAGTCCCAGCCACCATGCTCTCTGCAACACTATAGTTGCTTGCCCAAGTAAGGAACTGCATTGCAGATACTCATAGGGTAGTCTTACTTTTAATTCAGCAGGGATCAGGTAGCACATGGAGCCTATAAGGGCCTACATGATTCCATTAAACAGCTAACTCTGGCCTGCCTCCTCATTCTGGGCAATGTGTCTACCTCCAGTTTTCAAACTATCAGCCTTTACATAAGACCTTTCAGGTCCGGATAACAGTGGCATGAACAGGTATAGGAGGCCCATTGAAATGAGCCCTTCTTAGCATGGGCAGGATAGGTTGTGCTTGTGCAAATACCTATTACCAGAAAACCATTTCAGGCACCGTATTGCTGTATCTGGTCTTGCACCTGTGATCTGGGGTTTGCAGCTGTTGGTCAGAGCTAGGGACGTCACAGTAGGTCAGTGGGTCTGGCTGTTAACCGGAAGGTTGGTGGTTCGAGCCCACCCAGGGATGGTTTGGACTTGATGACGCACAGGGGTCCCTTTGCAGTTCTATGATTTCCAGTTTCTGTGGGAGAATCCCAGGCAGATCAAAACATGTAAGAAGTTCTCTAGTGGAACATGTTGGAAACAGCTAAGTATGGGAGTATTTTGCTAGCTGGCTCAAGAGTACTTGTGAGTTCTGTTACTGAAAAGACAGTTTTGTGGCACATTAGAATGTGAGCACTGCGACGCACTAGCAGTCCTGCACACTTTTCAGTCACGCACAAGAGGGTTTCAGAGAAGATGCCGCTTAGCCCCTCGGCTAGAACACCAGTGCATGGTGGACTTCGGTCAGGAGGGCATGCTATGAACATACAGATTAAGGGCACAGCCACACCATATATTCCCCCAAAGAACAGTTGACTGCCTCCCCCCCCCAAAGAATCATGGGAATTGTAGTTTGCTGTGGGTGCTGAGAATTGTAGCTCTGGCAGGGGGTGAAGTACAATTCCCAAGATTCTTTGGGGAAAGTATTGTGCCTTGAATGTATGGGATGGAAGTGACCATAGATGAGCTCGTTTAACAGGGGTAGGAACCCCAATAGACCAATCTCTAGTCCCTGAAGAGGGGAAATGGGGCCAGTCGCAAGTCAGCTGATCACACATTCAAATCCAGCATTGGGGCCAAAGGGGAGCTCTATCTGGCACATTCTCAGAAATGCCTGAAGAAGGTAATGCTGTGGTGTCCTAGTCCAGACTAGGGAATGTGGCCCTCCATCCCTCTCTATCTGGCCCTCAGAACTCTGACTTGGCCAAGCTTCATCTTCCCACTCCTCCCTGAGTGCTTTTGCCTGGCTGAAATGTGATGGTGAGCTGTCCTAAGGCCTCTTTTTCCTTGGTTGGCGGATAGAGAGAGGGGCAAATGCAGGCATCTCTGACTTCACTGTGCAGCTGCAGGGAAGCCTGTGGTGCAAAGGTAAGTGACATCCATTGTCCTCCTGCCTCTGGATTGTCCTTGGCCTGCCTCCCTTGGGCCAAAGGAGACTCCCCACTCTGGCCGCCTCCTTCAAACGCTGGAGAAGGAGCTGCTCTGGTGTGACTAGTATTCTAGGTGGTCAAAAACACCATTTCACTCAACTGAGAGGAGGGAGATGTTGAGCAGATTGATTTATTGCTCAGATAAGGGTCCGGCACACTTCCCATCGCGCAGCTCTGGCCGGCCAGGCCTCTGCATTCCAAAGTCCACATTCCGATGCTCTAAGCAAAGCAGAGATCTGCAGCGGCAAGAGAAAGACTGCAAAAAACTCCAGAGCATTCTTCAGTGTGCTTAAATAAAGTCCACTCAGGATCTTAGCAGCTAAAAGCAGTTTTATTTACAGCAGACTATCCATTATCTATCACAGCGAACAGCATCGTGAAAACATGTCCTCTCTCCTCAAAAGCGAAAGTAGAGAGAAAGAACAAAGGCTTGAGGCTCTCGGAAATGACGAACCTCCCCCCTCCCTGTAGGCAGGGCGTACACTCTGAGCTGTTTAACCCTGTAAGCTCAGGTTCTCCTCACAGGAGATTCAGAGAGGTGACATTTGCAGCATACTTTTAAAGCACTTTTATAAAGCTCTTTTAACAGTCCTTTGTTAATTTTTAAAAAAAGAATATTTCACTTGAAAAAAATAAAATGGAAATAAAGTGAATGGGTTTTTAAAAATAAATAAAAAGGGAGAGGTAAATGCATACATATTCTATATATGCAAACAGCTACAATGCTTATTATTATAAGTATTATTATCCGAATACATACATGGTTATTTATAACCTACTATATATATATTTTACTCAACTGATGGGAGGGAGATTCAGAGAGGTGACATTTGTAGCATACTTTTAAAGTACTTTTATACCACTTGAAGAGTTCTTTGTTTTAAAAAAAATTAAGAATATTTCAGCTGAACAAAATGAAATGGAAATAAAAAGTAAATGGATTTTAAAAAAATTAAAAGGGGAGAAGCATATTATACCTCTATACAGTGCTTTTTTCTGGGAGGATGCAAGGGGTGAATCTAACAGGAGAAGAGTATTTTTTTTAAAAAAAAAGTTTCTTCTATAGTATGGCGAACTCAGTTCTGTTGCTACCCCCGATGGCGGCCTCATTTCCTGGGAGAGACAAAATGTTTTTGAAGGAAGAGTCCCTTAGGCAATAAAATTTAATCAAGGATTTGAGGAAAAATCACCTTTATTTTATATAGCTGTACAGCCAGTCCCCAGTCCCAATGGACTGAGGCAATGTATGCAATTCAGACCAGACTATTTATACACTTCGAAAGGCAAGCCCCTCATGACGTAGGAGCAATTAAAACCCAGCTTTTTTACATAATTTACGACTCGGGATGCACAGGATACAGTTTGGCAATCAACCAATTCCGAAGGCTCTGATCTTCAAACAGTCTTTCAACTTCCCCTTTGATGACTTGTCAACTTCCTCTAGTGGTTCAACTGGTCAGGTCAGGTCAGGTGGGCTTAGTTCACTCACAGTTCACTCTTTACAAGTTCCTAGTCTGGGGCAGCGTACCTCTTGGGTGAACTGCAAATTACTGCAGAGGGAAAGTTTCCCTTTTCACATCCCTTTGTTTTCAAGCTTAGATACATCTGCAAACTTGGTTGTTTTCTGCTCAATTTTGTGGTTCAGAATAAATTCTGTTTGGCTCTGTTTCAGGAATTTTTCTGTGGGTTTCAGACATGTGGTTTATATTTTTATGTATGTGTTTGCTTGGTACATTTGTGAACATTTATTTTATTTATTTTATCTATTTTATCTTGGTACATTTGTGAACATCTCCTGCCAACCTAGCAGTTTGAAAGCACATCAAAGGGCAAGTAGATAAATAGGTACCACTCTGGTGGGAAGGTAAATGGTGTTTCCGTGCGCTTCTCTGGCCACATGACTAGGAAAAACTGTCTGCGGACAAACGTCAGATCCCTCGGCCAGTAAAGTGAGATGAGCGCCTCAACTCCAGAGTCGTCCGCGACTGGACTTAACAGTCAGGGGGTCAGGGGTCCCTTTACCTTTACCTTTTATTTTATATATAAGACCTTAAAATTCTCATAACAAATCCATACTGAATCCAGGAGTTAGGAGACTCAGGCATGCAGCCTACCCTCCCGCCCACAAACTCATAGAATTGGGGTGACGAGCCTCACGGCCTCTTAGGCCTCCTATCAAAAGCCTTTTTGGTATCTTACGACCACACTCCTAATGGAAGAGAGAGTTTTCTCAGCTGTGCAATTATGTTCAGGGACGTTCTCCCTTGGATGGATCCATGCCAGTTTTGAACAAATGCACTTGATCCTAGTGGAGATGAGGTAACACAAGGTAGATAGTCCATTAGCCGGGGCCTTGAATATAATGTTTTGTGCCAGCCTTAATTTCAGAAAGAAGGGCGTAGCTTGCTGTTTCTAAGTAGTCCTGACCTCATGTTAAGATGTCTGAAATGCTTGCTGCATTCATTTCAGGCTGCCAAGGTCTCTTTCTCAAACACTTCATTGTAATAATGTTGTAAACCAAGTCCCCCACCCCCACCCCCAAAAAAGGACTGACCCCTTTCAGCAGGAAAGTCATCAGAACCAGCTTTGCCTTATTGACTCAGCTGCTAATCCCTATTTGCTCCCTGAAACTGATGCTCCCAATCACAATTACCTCTTCCTTTAGGGTTGGTTGATATAATTGACTAAAGGAACTGTGTAGAATTGCGCTGTAGCGTTTAGTTCACAATAAAAAAGAATGTTCAAAGCCATTTTATAATAGAGTTTTTCAGATGGTTTAATGGGTGGAATTGAGTTTTTGTTTGTTTATTTGTTTTAATTTATAAGCTAAAAGTCCATCGGCTCCCGCTGCTTGCCCACCCACCCACCAGGCCCTGGAAGAATTTGGCTGCTACCAGACTTGTTTCTTGATGCTTCCTTGTTTGGGAGAAAGGTCACCACACTAAATGCCATTCGCACACGTCATTCCTTCGCGCTGTCCCTCTGAGTTTACATCCCGCTGTCCTTGCAGGTTTTATCTTTTCTATGAAAAAAGGTGTGAGGCTTGAAACTGCATCCCAGTGTGCCGCCTCACAGCCTGTGGTGTGAACCCCTGGAAAAGGAGGGGAAATTGCAGTGCAAAACTAATAGGGAAATGGCCACTTGCACTATAGTCCAATACATTCCAGAAGTGGCTTTTATGTCATGTGTAATGTGCAAAATAAGAGTTAGGGAAACTTCAGGAAAATGGTATAAGCTGCAGTGGGAGATGCCTTGTGCTTTCAAACGCTACTTCCCTCAACATGCAAAGTGGCGTTAACAGGACTATGAACCAAGCAGCTTTTCTAAAGACTGAGATTCATGAGGCAATTCAGCAACACACAACTGAGGGAGCGGATCTTTTTGTAAATAATGGGGGGGGGGCAGCAAGAGATGGGGAAATTCCCCAGAGGCCAGGGGCATGAGAAGCTGTGCAGTGAGAGAAGGGAGAGATTAGGCAAGAGAGCTTTTGCCTAAAGGCTAGAGGAGAAAAACAGAAGGTCAGTTAAGCACATAGCTTTGAAACAGTGAACTGTAGAATCATTTCAGTACAAATTCCTCACACAGGCAAAGTTTTGAAATCCTAAAGAGACAGATAAAAATACTCCTGAGGTAAAAAAAAAAAAAAAAAAGCTGTATATTTTTTTACATACCATTCTAAATATAACATACAATGAAGCGAAAACAACTTTAAATTCTCACACGGCAATTTAAAAATAATTTTCTCATGGACTATATGGAACTGGCGGAAATGACTGGCAGAATCCGTGACCAGGGAGAAGAGGCGATGGAGGAAGATTGGAAGAAATTCAAAGACTACCTACAGAAACACTGCAAAATTAAAGAATGTTAGAGTGATGTTGGATTGAAAATAAGTGGTTTCCAGCTGTACAGGATAAAATTATAGACAGACTAAGATTAAAGATTAGGATTAAAGAAGTTTAAGGAAATGGAAAATTGATATTTAAGAGGTAAAATTTTAATGCTATATTATATCAAGATTAAAGATTAGGAGTAAAGAAGTTAAAGGAAAGGGAAATTTGGTACTTAAGAGGTAAAATTTTAATGCTATATTATTCTAAGATTAAAGACCGGGATTAAAAAAGTGGAAAAGAAATTGCTGGATAAACAATTTGGACTGGAATACAAAAGAGGGAGGTATGAGGAAGTCCAGAAAATAAGTAAATTTAAAAAAGGAAATGAAAAGGTGATATTGTTTTTAATTGTTCTGTTTCTTTTTTTATTGTTGTTTTTTGCTTTTTGTGTTTTTTTTATTTCTTTCTGGGATTTGTATTGTGTATTTGTGTATCTTTTTTTTATGTCTTTTCTGTTCAATTTTTGATTGAAACTTTAATAAAAATTATTTTAAAAAATAAAAATAAAAATAATTTTCTCTTCAAAATTGAGGTCATCAGTACAAATTTTCATTGTCGCTGCTGAGGAGGATGGGATAGGCTGTTCCTATGTGCTGCCCGTGGCGGTAAACGACAATCTCCAGTTCGTATTCCTCTATTCTCACCCTCTGGCGCGTCACTCTTTCATTTGCTTGCAGGAAAATCACAGTATAAAGGGCAAACTCGAACTCGGGGCTGACGCCAATGAAGCTGCTGCCCACGGGCTTCACGAGCCCCTTCCAGCTGAACTGAAGGCTTAAAACCTGGTCGTCCTCATCAGGCTGAAAGCAAACACACAACACATTAGAACAGATACGCCTTTTAAATTATGACTGAATCAAACCAATGGGATTTCTGGGGCCAGGGAAGGAAGCAGGTGATGTTGCACCGTGGAAAGTAGGGGGTGGGCTTTGCTGGCACTTTCCCAGCTGAGCATGGCAGCAAAGCCCATCTCCCTGAATGCTCAGATGAAGTGAAGCCATTGGTTGTGGGGGGTGGAATTAGGGGGAAAACACATGTAAATGTAATGCATCATGTCTAAAATCCACTTAGGATGTGCAAGCCCTGGATGTGGGGTTGGATGAGGGCCCATAAACCGACTCTGAGTCCTGGCAAGATGGAGGTGTTGTGGGTTGGTGGCTCCTGAGTCCAGGCACTTGGCACTTGCACCCACAGAAGACTCTTCTTCTGTCAATAAGGCTTTTAAGCTGAACTCTTTCCCAGTCTACATCTGTCCTGGAATTGTTGAGAAGGGGTGGAGTTAAAGTAAGTGGTTGTGTTTGCTTGTGCAGTGGGACTTCGCCCTCCTCCTCTCCTCCTTCCTAGTTTAAGGTAAAGGTAAAGGTAAAGGGACTCCTGATCATTAGGTCCAGTCATGGCCGACTCTGGGGTTGCGGCGCTCGTCTCGCTTTATTGGCCAAGGGAGCCGGCGTACAGCTTCCTTCCGGGTCACGTGGCCAGCATGACAAAGCCGCTTCTGGCAAACCAGAGCAGTGCACGGAAACACCGTTTACATTCCCACCGGAGTGGTACCTATTTATCTACTTGCACTTTGACGTGCTTTCGAGCTGCTAGGTTGGCAGGAGCAGGGACCGAGCAACGGGAGCTCACCCCGTCGTGGGGATTCGAACTGCCGACCTTCTGATTGCCAAGTCCTAGGCTCAGTGGTTTAACCCACAGCGCCACCCGCGTCCCTTCCTTCCTAGTGTATGTGTCCCCTAAATCTGCTTTGAAGGGTTGGGGGATCCCAGAACAGATTTAGGGGGCACACAAGGGGCCTGGAAATTGTTCCCCATGCTGCGCATGCCCTGTTTAGCACCCCACTGAATTCCACCCAAGATGTTTTTCTTTCTTATCGCTTGCCACCCTGGGCTCTTTTGGGAGGAAGAGCAGGATGGATATTAAATGAATGAATGAATGAATGAATGAATGACAGAGGAATCTGATGCAAGTATAAACCAAGAGAAATCAGAAGCAAGATGCTTAGCAGGCTTCTACCTGAAGACGCTCTGGGTTTTTAAAAGTACTCTTCCAATATCACGTCCTACGTGTGTTGCTTATTTGCTAACCCAGGCGTAGATTTGTGCACATAAACAGTTGCAGAATGTTCTATATATTACACAGAGAGAGAGAGAGAGAGAGAGAGAGAGAGAGAGAATTGTTTCTTACCCTGTTTTTGTTCTTCCTGGCTACGTAACCCTTGTAGTCAATGTGCCTAAGTTTTTCTTGAAGGTAAAACTGCACCCAGTTGTGCAGTCCCAGGATCTCTTTACCTCGCTTAGTTTCCCCAACAAATACATGTTCGAATCCGCAAGAGTCAGGTCTGCAAAGCAAATCATTGGGAGTTGAGGGTTGAGTGGGGAAAGGAAAAGTACTGTTCAAGGACAGACAGATAGAATCTGATATTTTCACTGTGCCATGATGTTACACGTTTACGTAGCTGGTTGTACAAGGGATATGTTGTACAGTGTACACATTCAAAGAACATCCGCAATGTCTATCATTTCTGGGGATGTTTGAATATCTGCCCTTGACAAAAGCTGAGGGGAAAACATTCAGTTGGGCTAACATAAATGCCATGTGTTGGACTGGAATTATTAATTTTGAGACACAAGTGACCCTGCTATCTGTTGCATTTAAACCATAGAACTTGGGGGAGCCAATTTTATTCGATGTTTTGTTTTTCAATGTCTCTTAATCTGGTTTGAATATTGCAATAAATATATTGCTCACTTGAATTATAAAAGAGTTCCAAGTCAATACCAATAGATCTGATTTTGCTGTGTATGAGTTGGAACCATCTGGATTTATAAGAGTCCTTAAGTAAGTCAGAGAGCAGATTAGCAAAAGCACTTGCACTTGCACTAAGAACATCTAAAGAGCCCTGTTGGAATAGACCAAGGATCCCAATAATGATGATGATGATGATGATGATGATGATGATTTATTTCTACCCCGCCCATCTGGCTGGGTTTCCCCAGTCACTCTGGGCATCTTTCAACAGAACATTAAAAACAGAATGAAACTTCAAACACTAAAAACCTCCCTAAACAGGACTGCCTTCAGATGTCTTCTAAAAGTGAGATAATTGTTTATTTCCTTGACATCTGATGGGAGGGCGTTCCACAGGGCGGGCACCACTACCGAGAAGGCCCTTTGCCTGGTTCCCTGTAACCTCACTTCTCGGATAGCTCTTTATTTCCTTGACATCTCTACTTTCCCATGTAAACATAGAAGATTGATATCCTCCTACAGAGTGTATTTTCTTACTCTTTAGGTCCGAGCTGCAAAGTCTGTACAATATTTGGATATTACATCATTCAAGCTATGGTAGAGTCTATTAAAAATCAGCCATACCCTTTTCCTCCATCCCTGGAGTAGAGGTGAAACCAAATAGCATAGAGCTGAGACTTGAAATCCTTCAGATCTGGTTTAGTCCAGGTTTTTTTAACTAAATATTGATGGGTAAGCTGGAAGAGATGAAATTGACATGAATTGGGAGGGGTGTTAAAATCTTAACATAGACCTCAGGTTTCAGAGTGTTTGCAGAGTTTCCTGCAGAAGAAAGGTTCAGAAAGTTTCAGGGAAGACAAGACTGAGAGTGAAGTCTCACATATTTACGGGAATCAGAGATCTGTAAAAGCCAGTCCCTTAGCAGAGAGGAATTGTTGTTTGACACGATCATGATTCACTCCTAATGTCAGTGATCTCTTTAGCCGAGGCAGAGTTAAGACATGCTGAGGTCCTAAGCTATGCCAAGCTCTAACAGAAAGGACAGTGAAAACAATAAAGAGTATGTTTTCCCTGTTTCCTTTATTTTTTAAGCAATTATTAAGTCTTGAAACTGACAAGAAGAAAAAAGTACTTAGAGACTCCTCACAATCTGAGGCAATGAACTGTAGTGTACTTAGATGGAACTAACCTGTAAGTAAATTTTTGATTGGCTATAGACAGTACCGAATTTAAAGACACACTGACTATAGCTTACTTAGTTCTCCTTTAAATCCAGTACTGTCTATAGCCAATCAAAAATTTACTTACAGGTTAGTTCCATCTTCTTAACATGTCAAAAGAGCAAAAATGTTTTAACTAGATGCAGCATTTTAAACATGAGCTTAACTCTTGGGTGCTTATTCAAAAACAAAGCCCAGGATAGATAGATGATGATAGATGATAGATAGATAGATAGATAGATAGATAGATAGATAGATAGATAGATGATAGATTATATATATATATATATATATATATATATATATATATATATATAATGTTCATTTATAATTAGGTTCATATATATTAGGTACATTTAGGTTGTGGTCTTGACTATGCTACCACTCAGTGGACGGTAAACATCATCCCCCTCACCCATAGTGGGGTGCCACAGGGTTCTGTCTTGGGCCCGGTCTTATTCAACATCTTTATCAACGACTTGGATGATGGACTCCAGGGCATCCTGATCAAATTTGCAGATGACACCAAATTGGGAGGGGTGGCTAACACCCCAGAGGACAGGATCACACTTCAAAACGACCTTGACAGATTAGAGAACTGGGCCAAAACAAACAAGATGAATTTTAACAGGGAGAAATGTAAAGTATTGCACTTGGGCAAAAAAATGAGAGGCACAAATACAAGATGGGGACACCTGGCTTGAGAGCAGTACATGTGAAAAGGATCTAGGAGTCTTGGTTGACCACAAACTTGACATGAGCCAACAGTGTGACGCGGCAGCTAAAAAGCCAATGCAATTCTGGGCTGCATCAATAGGAGTATAGCATCTAGATCAAGGGAAGTAATAGTGCCACTGTATTCTGCTCTGGTCAGACCTCACCTGGAGTACTGTGTCCAGTTCTGGGCACCACAGTTCAAGAAGGACATTGACAAACTGGAACGTGTCCAGAGGAGGGCAACCAAAATGGTCAAAGGCCTGGAAACGATGCCTTATGAGGAACGGCTAAGAGAGCTGGGCATGTTTAGCCTGGAGAAGAGGAGGTTAAGGGGTGATATGATAGCCATGTTCAAATATATAAAAGGATGTCACATAGAGGAGGGAGAAAGGTTGTTTTCTGCTGCTCCAGAGAAGCGGACACGGAGCAATGGATCCAAACTACAAGAAAGAAGATTCCACCTAAACATTAGGAAGAACTTCCTGACAGTAAGAGCTGTTCGACAGTGGAATTTGCTGCCAAGGAGTGTGGTGGAGTCTCCTTCTTTGGAGGTCTTTAAGCAGAGGCTTGACAACCATATGTCAGGAGTGCTCTGATGGTGTTTCCTGCTTGGCAGGGGGTTGGACTCGATGGCCCTTGTGGTCTCTTCCAACTCTATGATTCTATGATTCTATGATTCTAGGTTGCAGAATCCCAGGACCTCTAATGGGCACTGGTGCTGCTGAACTAAAGCAAAATATAGGCATTCCTACCACTCCTGTACTCACTTTCATCACGTCAGTTTCTAACACTGCATCGAGAAAGCGGTTGTTTTCAGCTATTTCCTCTGCCGTCACCAGCTCTGCCATACCAGTTGATGTCTCGTAGTTGTCCAACAGGGAAATAAAGGCTATAAGAAGAAATATATCCCTCAGATTAATTCAGTATGTGGAAAGAAAGATAAGTTTCATTTATGTTCCTTATGCAGTGCGCACAGTGTTGACTGGGCCTGGGTTCAAATACCAATTTATGTGTGGACTCTCTTATCACTCAGGCTGCATCCACACAAGGGCGTCTTACCCATAGAGGCTAGTAGTGCGGGGTGCCAGGGAAGAGGCAGAGGCTGGACGCGGCACCTCCTGGCATCAGCTTGCCGCCCTCGCCCACCTCCGCCATGCCGTGCCGAAGCAGCGCCGCGCCCGGAGCCTCTGTCTGCCAGGGCCACCGCGGCACGAAGCGGCCAGCTGCGCCGGGAGGCGTCGCATCCAGCCTCCGCCTCTTCCCCGCTGGAGGAGCCGCCCTCCAGCCGCTGCCCACCTCCTCCAGCCCTGCCAACAGCGCCGTCCTCCCTAAAAAACTCTGGGAAATGGGGGGGTGCCACAGGGAGCTTTGCACCATGGCGCCAGATATGCTTAAGACGGCCCTGCATTCACGCAATACATTTAAAGCAAACTGCCCCCCCCCCGAATCCTGGGGTGCTGGGAATGATAGCTCTGTGAAGGGTAAACTATGGTTCCCAATATTTGGGGGGGGGAGTCATGTATTTTAAAGGTGCAGTGGGGACTCAGCCATTGTCTCATGCCACATGCCCTAAGTAAAAAGTTTGCCTATGAGTTGCAGGGGACTAGGGCCATCAGAAAAAAGGGGCCTTTGGGGTATGGTTGCAAACTTTAAGTGCTATAAGCAGGACTAGGTGTTTGCTGTACAGCACGTAGCACACTCTGTGAGAAAGATCCCAGAAATTTCCACTCGCATACAGTGGCCAGGACTCAGGGCTCCTCTGCTGCTTTCAGTGAAAACCTGCTCTTTTATTTTTGCCTTGTAAGTGGAACTCCTCCTGCTCCTGGTGTGTGTGTGTGTGTGTGTGTGTGTGTGTGTGTGTGTTAAGGGATGTGAAAGTGTGGGCCATGGGATGCAAGGTTTCTGTTTGCGGGAAAATAAAATCCTGTGATCTTCCGACTGGAATAAACCAGCTACTTGAAGTATGCAGCCATGTTTTGTAACAGGCTAATCTCATGTGTATTTTCCTGCACACTTCCACTAATAAAACGTATGTTAAAGTGATTTGCTACCGACTGAATATATCAGTGGCTCTCCTAATTTGTAACTCTACTGGTATGGTTATATTGATATATGGGCTTATTTATATCGTTTTAATTGGCATGGTTTTCTCCAAAGAATCCTGAGAGTTGTAGTTTGGCTGTTTGGGCAATCTCATAGCTACCCCTCTCTCGGAGTCTGGGTTTTTGCTAATAAAAATCAACATTAATAATAATTTTTTATTTATACCCCGCCCTTCCCAGTTTAAAAACCAGACTCAGGGCAGCTAACAGCAAATATAAAACATTGATTAAAATGTGACTTAAAATCAGCATAAAAGACAACATAAATGCAGCATCAATGACAATAAAAATTAAAAATGCAGGGGTCATTTGGGGGAGAATCCAGGGCTAACTGGCCAAGTTGGTCCTACTAGGGCCAGCAAGAAGACCAGGGAAGAGTTTAAATGTGGGGTCCCAGAAGGGTTTCTTCATAGAAGAGGAAAGGGGAAAGGGGTTAGAGGATCAGGCCAATTCAAATTGAAGGCCAGGCAGAATAGCTCTGTCTTACAGGCCCTGCAGAAGGAGATCGTCCTGAAGGGCCCTAGTCTCGTGGGACAGAGCATTCCACCAGGTCGGAGCCATCACTGAGAAGGCTCTGCCCTGGTGGAGGATAGTCTGGCTTCCTTAGGGCCCGGGACCTTTAAGCTGTTATTATTCATAGACCTTAGGGTCCTCTATATTAAATATATCCCTCGAATGGAAGAAGAGTGTGCTGTACAGTTAAACTGCAAGGGAGGAGCCTTACTTGAATAAGTTTCCGTGTTCTTCAGACGTTGCTCATTTACGCTGCAAAACAGCGGTTCAGAAGCTCTGTCTCTGGCCGCATTACTGCCTTGCGGTACATAGCCAGCTTTCCCCTGTAAGCAAAATGTGGAACTATGATGGATGTTTGCTGCAGTTATAGGTGAGGCATCTGAAAAGTTATTTTGCTTGTTGACTCCAGCCCCTGACAAACTTGGGTTACGGGGGGAAATGTAAAATACAGATAATAACTCCCCGTATCTTTTACGTAAGCTCTGCGCATATGCTTTACTCACATGTTCCTATGTGGCAAGCAGCCCAGCCTACAGGCTCACATGGTTTCAGCACAGGTGTCTACAAGGAAGGAGCCTTCAGTGGCACGGCTGAATGCGCAAAACGCCCTCCCTGCGGATGTTCACGCCATATGCACAGACACCAGAGGGTGGGGATAGTCGGATGGGGTGGGTCTTCCTTGCTCACTTTTTGGGAGAATGCAGGAGAGCTAAGCATAGTGGCACATATAACTGATACCTGTAAGGAAATGATATAGTCTTTTCCAGGCACAAAGCGGTTCACATCAGCATCCCAGAGCTCATTGAAAAGCTTGGAGAGTTCGTGATTCAGAATCTGCCGGCAAATAAACATAGGCAGAGAAGCGTTTTTTCCAAAATCAACACAAACATAGATCAGATAGGCAATTCCTGGCTTGGGGAGAGCAATGGCGTGTGGTTGGTGGAGCACACAGAGAGGACTACCCTGCTCCAAAGGGCTGTTTCACACAGGCTGCTCTTGTGGGGTGAACCACCGTGGGTTTGCCCCCCCTCCTGCCACCCAGCAGCAGTGACACCTCTGCACCCTTTCAAGGCCTCCCTTCAAAAGCAGAGAAGGAAACCAAAAGCTGTGCAAATGTGCTGAAAGTGCTTTTTCATGCTTATGCAGAATCAGCTATATTTGGAAACAGGAAATGCAGAGAACAAATGATAAGCTCAACTGAGTCTAAACTCTTTTACTCTGCTCTTAACTCCTATCCTTTGGCTCAAAATATGTTCCTCAATATGGCTTTCTTTTTTGCAATTGGCAAACCTGGCCTCAGCTCAGCTTCACGATGGCTGTGCCTCATTCCACTTATAGTTTCTTGCAGCCTGCATGAACTTAGAGCCTTGTTGACAACAAAGCAGCATGCCAGTTCAGACTTCGTGTCTGAACTGAGCAGAGCCTTGTCTGGACATCAGCCCCCAAGACTTTTCGTAGCTAGGACAAGAATTGTGCCAGGAGACCAGTTGTGAGCAACCTCTCATCTGTGGGCCAAATTAGGCCCACCACACTTGTGAGGTTGTACCGCCAGACCACTTCTGGTGAGCAAGGCATGCCTTTCCTGTACCGGACATTTAAGCCAGTAGCATTACAAAATCATTCAAACGCTGATGGGAATTGAATTTTTCTTTGATGCCACAGCTTGAAGCTTAAGCCTGCTGACATCATATGATGGCAGGGGATTGACAGGAGGGTAGCTCTGCCCACTTGTCAGTGTGGCCTGCAAAACGTTGGCCTTCCAGCAACCAGAGGGGTCTGCCCAGCCCTGTGCAAGACTAACAAGCCTGACACAATGACCTTCACTTCCACAGACCTGTTTCCAATCTCCAAATTCATGAGAGGCTCATCAAACATGGGGTGTATTTTTTGCCATATGAACGCTGCTGCATCCTCTTCAGGAGTATCATATATGGCACTGTGAATGTTCCTTCAAATCTAGCATAACCTCTTTGCCAGCTTTTATCATCAGTCAGATGTAAGGTGCATACAATAATATTTTCTCTCAGAATGTGAGAAAATCGTATTTAAGGCAAATGTGTGAAAACTCATTCCGCCCCCCCCCCCGCCTCCCCAGTAACACCATCTAAAAGTACAGGAAGAACTGGGAACTTTGAGGGGAGGCAGAATCAGAAATGGTGAGTGCCAACTTTGGACAGCTTTTGCAAACCCAAATATAGAAGTCTCACCCCCAACTAACTTCATGGTTTTCTCTGACTCACAGATAAAATGACTTTTCACTCACGTGAAAACAATTCTCATTGAGCTGCAGTCCCATAGGCAGAATATAGAATTATTTCAATTTAAAGTGTTGGTGTTGACCATTAAAGCCCTAAACGGCCTCGGCCCAGTATACCTGAAGGAGCGTCTCCACCCCCATCGTTCTGCCTGGACGCTGAGGTCCAGCTCTGAGAGCCTTCTGGCGGTTCCCTCACTGCGAGAAGCAAAGCTACAGGGAACCAGGCAGAGGGCCTTCTTGGTGGTGGCACCCGCCCTGTGGAACGCCCTCCCATCAGATGTCAAAGAGATAAACAACTACCTGACATTTAGAAAACACCTGAAGGCAACCTAGTTCAGGGAAGTTTTTAATGTGTGACATTTTGATGTATTTTTAATCTTTGTTGGAAGCCGCCCAGAGTGGCTGGGGAAACCCAGCCAGATGTGTGGAGTACTGTACAAATAATAAATTAATATTAATATTAATTTGTGGGGTGAGATATTCAGAATCATGACAAGACTATAAATACACACACACACACACACACACACACACCCCATTGCTTCCTTTTCTTGCTATTAATTTTTTACTGGTGTCCCTACAGTGGAATGTTGACTCCATTTCTAGTATAATCTTATACATGTCAACTCAAAGGCAAATTCCCAAGTAAGCATGTATAGAATCTGAGCCTTCCAGGACAACTTTAGCGGCATAAGGAATCAAGAGACAGTCACAAAAGGTCATGATAATCTGAAAGACAAAAAGGAGTGTGGCCAGATGTTCCAATGGCACATCTTCTACAAATGCAAAATAAGTTTGATTTAAAATACTGTACACCTAACTTGGTCTAATTGTTTAAATAAGGAAGAACAATAATTTACCTATTGGCTTACCACACAGAAACAATCAGCTCTTGTCAAGATTTGCCACAGCATAAACCCAGCTTTGAGCAAGCAAGTTGCAAATTGCAGGGAGGAAAACTGATGACAAAAAGATGGACACCCTAACCCTAATCCAGGGGTAGCCAATGAGATGCCTTCCAGATGCTGTTGGACTACAACTCCCATCTTCCCTGACCATTGGCCAAGTTGCCTGCAAGCTGGAATCCAAAAATATCTGAAGGGCACTGTTGGTTACCCCAGCAATAATGGCACACGGCGTAGATATTGCATGAGGCACTGAAATGCATTTTTAAGTGTCTAACATGAAAATGTTCCCAATCTCTGGGATGTTGTGAAGAAAGACTCTCCTGAGAGATCCAAACTACAAGAAAGAAGATTCCACCTAAACATTAGGAAGAACTTCCTGACAGTAAGAGCTGTTCGACAGTGGAATTTGCTGCCAAGGCGTGTGGTGGAGTCTCCTTCTTTGGAGGTCTTTAAGCAGAGGCTTGACAACCATATGTCAGGAGTGCTCTGATGGTGTTTCCTGCTTGGCAGGGGGTTGGACTCGATGGCCCTTGTGGTCTCTTCCAACTCTATGATTCTATTCTATGATTCTATGAGACCATTGCAAACTTGAAAGAAATGTGCTGAGGTCCCTAGGTGCGCTTTAGCTAACAACAAAAAGAACTACAACCACATCATTAAGATTTGCTCTGTGACCATGAGATCGTAATGGTAAATAAGAAAGTGAAACCTTCTTCTTCCCAAATAGCCCTTGCAGAAAAGAAAAGTAGTCTCCTTCTCTGGAGAATTTATTTATTTTGGAACTTAATATTACTTTCAAATTTCATTTCTTCTTTTTCAAACAAAGGAAGCTTAAACAGTTTTGAGATTCCAGGAAAGGGAACCCCATCATTCTGTTAAAACAAGTTACATTCTTGTCTGATAAAAAGTGTTTGCAGTGAAATCCCACAAATAGCTTTACAAACTGTATTGACTTCTTTTTCTATGGCACTTGCAATCAACCTCCCCTCAAAAACAATATAATCAGCTCTTTTGCCTCTAATTTTCCATACAATTGTACCTAGATATTGCCTTTTAAGTGGAACAAAAGAGTTGCATCCTTAATTCTGTGCTGGGTTGCAGCCTGAAGCCTTCAAATTTAGTCCTCAAATCTTGATTAAATATCTAGACTGTAGGCTCTTGTGCTTCTAGATGAGACACAACATTTGCTGAATGGCACAACAGGCCAGTCTTTGCAAGGGAAACAATTGATTTTCTGTGAATATTGCTGGCCTATCAATGAACTCCTCTCGAAACCATTGTTTGAATTCAGCAAATGACACAATAAAAACCCTGCTCCGTCTATAAAGAATGAAAGTCTTCCTTAATAACTTGATGGACAGCAATCCTGCGCTTATCAGCTCAGAGGTCTCAGTGATTTCAACAGAATTGCAGCTTGTGTGGTGTCATATTTGCACCACTGAGCAGATAGTAAACTATAAATTGTTGAGTAAGTTGGAGAAAAGCTCCCCCTCTCAGAAAGTGCATCTCTTCTTTCTGGAAAATTACTGCCAGAGTATAAACACTGGAAGCTGGCAGATAGAAGGCTTATTTCAGCATAAGAGTTCTAAAACCCTAAAATCTACTTTGCAAAAAGCCACAACAGATTTTTCTTTTCTTTTAATAATAATAATAAAAAAATATTCTTTTAATAAAACATGATATTATTTTGCCTTTAAAGCTCTTTATAAACACCTGTAAGATTTCTTAACATTCAATGTTTCAGCCATGGTTACTGGCTCTAAATAAATGCCTAAGTGCTCTGTGACTGTACTTTAATTTCCTCCCGTTTCAGCCTTGTTGACTGAACTGTAACTGTAACAATTAATAGTACTATTCTATAAACAGAGCTGCACTTGGCTAGGGAAAACGAAACTTCAGTTTAATTCTACAGTACACACAACATAGAAGTTAAGTAAACCGTCTGTTATAGCTAGGGAATGCAATTTGCATTTGCTAAGCGTAAGATGATATGCTGGCGCTTATCAGAGACATTGCTACCTAGGATATAGTTTGTAAGTGCACTGCATGCTGATTAGATAATAAATCTACACTTTTCCAAGTGTCCCTGGGACCATACCTGTGATTCTTCAAGCTTAAGTTGTTCCCAGTGCACAGGGCGGCAGCGTAATGCCAAAACATGCAACCCTCTCTTACCTTTGAGCCATGTTGACCATATGCTGTTTTTCTCCCCCAAGCAAACTGACTCACAGTGAGCTGAATGCCCGGTTTCACTTCCAAAGCCCTTTTGAAGCAGCCCTGGACCTTTGCACTGCCTCCAGCCTGGTTACCGGGAGCTGCCTCTCAAGGTGATTGGCAGAGTAAGGAAGTTGTAGAAAGGGACACGTTGCAAAGAGAAGGAAGTAAACTGAATGAACCTGAGGGTTGGGCAAACAGTGACAATATGTGTTCTCCTCCAGGTTCCCACCAGATAGACAGAAACACATCAACAGGAGCTAAAATGACTCACGTTGAGCTTCAGAGCATTTCCTATTGTTATAGATGCATTCGGTGGTGCTGTGGTCTAAACCACAAAGCCTAGGGCTTGCTGATTGGAAGGTCGGTGGATCGAATCCCCGCGATGGGATGAGCTCCCATTGTTCAGTCCCAGCTCCTGCCCACCTAGCAGTTCGAATGCACGTCAAAGTGCAAGTAGATAAAT